AGGCAAGCTAAGGTTTATGAATACAAATTTTTAATTATGTTCTCAATGAAAAATTGCACATAATTTAAAAAAACTATGAATAATGATCTTAGAATCTGATATAAATTTTACAAGTGTTGATTTTTATTCGTCTAATAATGCTTAGATTGCTGTTTTCGTTTAGAATCTGCTAGAATGTCCGTTTCTCATTCTTGTTTATCTTTCTTATTGTACCGAATCAGAATTAAAATCTCTATTAATGAAACAGCATTATTAGACATAACCGTTGTCTTTTTGCAGCTTCAGCTCTTTTAAGAGCTACTATTCTCATCATTCTCATTAGAAAAAAGAAAAGAAAAAAAAAGAGAAGAAAAAAGGAAAAAAGAACTTTAAGAATGATGAGAATAAAAAGTGTTTTTCATCCCCAATTTCCTCTAATTCTTATATGATTATTTAATCCTTATATATTTATCTCACGCGCAGTTCTAACAAAGGCAGTTCTATTTACGTTTTTATCTTTGTTCTCTTTCTTGCGCTGTTAAGCGAATATATAATCAAAATCAACAAAAATTGCTCATTTAAATTAAGAATATAAGGATTAAGTACATATACATTATCGAAATAAACGAGTATTAAATAACTGCGGAATACGTCGCTGTTGAAGACTCATCATGGGCGAGACTGCGAGAGTAGCCAGATGTAACGTTCAGGTAAGACAAAGCTTGTTCACTATTGCGCATCTAGATATTCTGCAATGATTTTTCAAATTGGATACAATTTGCAGGATCAATGTAGAATTAATATTTCGACTCAGGAAAGACTCGGGAATGAGAACAAATTGTCATTGCACTTGGACAATCTTCTGACACTAATTTATGGTATTGATCGATATTCGATTTTCAGTACTGATTTACTCTTTCATTCCTCTACAAGAAAACAAAATTGATACGACTCGTTCATTTATCCGCGTTAATTTGATGAATAAATTAAATATTGATCGGTCTTCAATTTTCTGTACTGATTTATTCTATCATTTCTCTATAAGACAAGAAAAATTGATACGAATCAATCGTTTATTCGAGTTAATTTGTTGAGTAAATTAGAAAGATAAACACCCGAAACATGAGAACAAATTGTCATTGCACATGGACAATTTTCTGACATTGATTTACGGTATTAATCGATATTCGATTTTCGGTACTGATTTACTCTTTCTTTTCTCTATAAGAAAACAGAAAATTAGTACGAATCGTTCATTTATCCGCGTTTGTTTGATGGAAAAATTACGTATTGATCGGTCTTCGGTTTTCGGTACTGATTTATTCTCTCATTTCTTTATAAGAAAAGAAAAATTGATACGGATCGTTCGATTAACAGAGTTAATTTGTTAAGTAAATTAAAGGGGTAAGTACCTGAAAAATAAGAACAAATTGTCATTGCACTTGGACAATTCTCTGACACTGATTTACGGTATTAATCGATATTCGATTTTCGGTACTGATTTACTCTTTCATTTCTCTTTAAGAAAACAGAAAATTAATACGAATCGTTCATTTATCCGCGTTAATTTGATGGAAAAATTACGTATTGATCGGTCTTCGGTTTTCGGTACTGATTTATTCTCTCATTTCTTTATAAGAAAAGAAAAATTGATACGGATCGTTCGTTTAACAGAGTTAATTTGTTAAGTAAATTAAAGGGGTAAGTACCTGAAAAATAAGAACAAATTGTCATTGCACTTGGACAATTTTCTGACATTGATTTACGGTATTAATCGATATTCGATTTTCGGTACTGATTTACTCTTTCTTTTCTCTATAAGAAAACAGAAAATTAATACAAATCGTTCATTTATCCGCGTTAATTTGATGGAAAAATTACGTATTGATCAGTCTTCGGTTTTCGGTACTGATTTATTCTCTCATTTCTTTATAAGAAAAGAAAAATTGATACGGACCGTTCGTTTAACCGAGTTAATTTGTTGAGTAAATTAGTGGGGTAAGTACCTGCAAGATGAAAACAACTTGTCATTGCACTTGGACAATTTTCTTGACATTGATTTATGGTATTGATCAGTCTTCGGTTTTCGGTACTGATTTACTCTTTCATTTCTCTATAAGAAAAAAAAATTCATACGAATCGTTCATTTATCCGCGTTAATTTGATGAATAAATTCAATATTGATCGGTCTTCAATTTTCGATACTGACTGATTCTCAATTCAATCAATACAATTTTCTAACGCTGATTTATCGTATTAATCAATATCCGGTTTTCGATACTGATTTAGTCTTTGATTTCTCTATAAAAGAAAAAATATTGATATAAATTGTTCATTTATCCGCGTTAATTTGATGAAAAAATTAGATATTGAACGGTCTTCGATTTTTGGTATTGATTTATTTTCTCATTGTTTTACAAGACAAAAAAAAATTATACGAATCGTTCGTTTATCCGAGTTAATTTGTTGAATGAGATAAAGGGGTAAGTACCTGAAAAATGAGAACAAATTGTCATTGCACTTGGACAATTTTTTGACACTGATTTATGGTATTAATCGACATTCGATTTTTGGTACTGATTTACTCTTTCATTTCTCAATAAGAAAAAAAAATTCATACGAAATGTTCATTTATCCGCGTTAATTTGATGGATAAATTAAATATTGATCGGTCTTCAATTTTCGGTACTGACTGATTCTTTAATTTCTTTATAACAGAATAAAAATTGAATACGAATCGTTCTTTTATCCGACTTAATTTGTTGAGTAAATTAGTGGGGTAAGTACCTGCAAGATGAAAACAACTTGTCATTGCACTTAGACAATTTTCTAACGCTGATTTATAATATTAATCAATATCCGGTTTTCGATACTGATTTAGTCTTTGATTTCTCTATAAAAGAAAAAAAGATTGATACAAATTGTTCATTTATCCGCGTTAATTTGATGAGAAAATTAGATATTGAACGGTCTCTGATTTTCGGTATTGATTTATTTTCTCATTGTTTTACAAAACAAAAAAAATTTATACGAATCGTTCGTTTATCCGAGTTAATTTGTTGAATGAGATTAGAGGGGTAAGTACCTGAAAAATGAGAAAAAATTGTCATTGCACTTGGACAATTTTTTGTCACTGATTTATGGTATTAATCGACATTCGATTTTTGGTACTGATTTACTCTTTCACTTCTCAATAAGAAAAAAAAATTCATACGAAACGTTCATTTATCCGCGTTAATTTGATGAATAAATTAAATATTGATCGGTCTTCAATTTTCGGTACTGACTGATTCTTTAATTTCTTTATAACAGAATAAAAATTGAATAGGAATCGTTCTTTTATCCGACTCAATTTGTTGAGTAAATTAGTGGGGTAAGTACCTGCAAGATGAAAACAACTTGTCATTGTACTTAGACAATTCTTTAACGCTGATTTATAGTATTAATCAATATCCGGTTTTCGATACTGATTTAGTCTTTGATTTCTCTATAAAAGAAAAAAAGATTGATACAAATTGTTCATTTATCCGCGTTAATTTGATGAAAAAATTAGATATTGAACGGTCTTTGATTTTCAGTATTGATTTATTTTCTCATTGTTTTACAAGACAAAAAAAATTTATACGAATCGTTCGTTTATCCGAGTTAATTTGTTGAATGAGATTAGAGGGGTAAGTACCTGAAAAATGAAAACAAATTGTCATTGCACTTGGACAATTTTCTGACACTGATTTATGGTATTAATCGGTATTCGATTTTCGATACTGATTTACTCTTTCATTGCTTTATAAGAAAAGGAAAAATTGATACGAATCGTTCATTTATCCGCGTTAATTTTTTTTTATTATATATAAGTGGTCCATGGGACGATTAAATATTCGAATACATGTTGCCATATCAAAGTCTCCTCTATAATAAACGATTTGACACGTCTGGGGACGCATGATGTATCGTTGTCCGAATCCCATTCCGTTCGTCCTACTTTTCTGTATAAAATGTCGAATTGAAACATATTAAAAAGTATTGACATTTTGAATATGTCTGATTTCTGAATCTTTTTGATCCGAAGAAAAGGACTGAAAAGTATTAGTTTCCATTAAATTTTACTGCGCTAAATGCGAGACGGTCTCTTTCACCCGAGTGCCTCACCAGGGAAATTTCTCTGGTACGCTAAATCTCGTAAGGTCATCAGTCTTTGTAGTATATCTCGTCGGTGCATAAGGTTTATATTATCTGTACATACATATTTTGAAACATTTTCTTTGGATATTATATTAAACGGATTTTGCGTGTCACGTAATATCCTTCGGACTATACGGATATTATTATTTTGATCAATTTGATTTCTTTGGTATTCATTGAATTATCCAGAACGCGCAACTGCCATGTTGAACGACTCAATTGTCGTGTGAAATGTTTCGATTTTCACAAATTCATATAAAATTTTTCATTTTTCACTGATTCACAGAAGTCTTTCACTTTTTATTAGTTCACGCTAGGGAAAAAATTCATGATCACTGCCCTGAGCAACTGCAACGCTTTTCGAATCATCTATGTCAGCGCGCTTTTACTCCTCAGATTTCTGTCATTAATAACTCGATAATTATTGCGAATTTCGCAAAATGGTATGGGACTTTTATGTTTGTCTCAACCCAATCTACCCTCACACTTCGGGTTGGCAGCTAATTACCGGATACTTCGTATGATCTTTATGATATTAATCATACACAATGTCAATTCTTTTTTTTTTGCACATGTTAACATGTTAATTCATGTTATAAACGCGTAACAATGTGCGAGACCGTGCTTGTCAAGTACGCAATTATGGTTGTAGCACGGACATAAACCGCCTAAAAATGGATGTAGCACGGACTGTCACCACATACAGGTTTTACTGCCGAAACCTGAAAGTGGATGTAGCATCGTAGTTTCCCTCTCAAAATGGATGCAGATGGCGTTCTTTCCCAGTGCGGAAAGTCGGTGTCGTCGAAAACACCGGTGTTGGCCGCTCTCACGTTCCTCTCTGCTTTTACACAAGCAGCGTGCCTACGTCATCGCATGCGCTGTAGCGTCGTAATATATTGCATCTAGCAACTCTGAAGCAGCCCGCCATGCGATGCAGGATCGTCTGGCTTCGCTTATTCTCTTTTCTTTTCTTGACGGAACACGTATTCCCGAACAAACACAATGTTTATACTTGCTGACTTAAAAGACACGGTGAGAACTACACCAAATAATTTTAAACAAAAATTAAATGATGTAATCACTGATGAATTGAATAGAAAGCTTGGTAATAAGGTAAATAGTTTCCAATAAATATCCTCTACTTATTCTTTGTTAATAGAATTATAATAAATATTATTATATAGGTTTATGTGAATGTAGGACTTTGCATTATGCTATATGATATCACAAAAATTGAAGAGTCACATGTCTTCCCAGGAGATGGAGCTTCTCATACTAATGTATCATTTCGTTTTGTTGTATTTCGTCCATTTATGGAAGAGATATTAATAGGAAAAACTCGTTTTTGTAGCGCTGATGGTATACATGGTAAATATTCGACTATATTATTTAAATCAGTATAATTTTATTACTCACATTGTTAGCATTTTGTTTTTTACAGTTACATTAGGATTCTTTGACGATATAATCATACCACCACATAAGCTACCATATCCATCACGTTTTGACCAAAGGGATCAAGTTTGGGTATGGGAATATAAGACTGAGGAAGGATCAACACATGATTTATATGTGGATTTAGGTATGTATCACACATATATGTGATTAAAATATTATTCTGAACATAAGTAATAAAATTTATATTAAATTCTAGAGGAGTTGATAAGATTTAGGGTAGTGAACGAGATCTTTACAGAGGAAACACCCAAGCCACCTGATACAGTTGAGAAAGAAGAAACCAATAAAGTAGCACCATATATCTTACATGTAAGCACAGTCAAGTACTTAATTATGTTAATACAGAATGTTATTTTCACACTATATAAGTACTAATATATTTCATAGGGATCTATTGATGAAGCAGGTCTAGGTCCACTTTTATGGTGGGAAAATGCTTAACTTTACATCTTCATATTTTAATGTGTCTTTAGAAGGTAAATATTAAAGTACAATATAGTTTGGTCAATAAATTTTTATTTCACAGCACATTCCATCATATTATCGTGTGTCGTCATTAAATGTTGCGTCTGTGATCATAGTATCTCACAATGTGACTCCACTTTCTGATGCAACTTTGCCTGTGCGGATATATTTACGCTCGGTTTTGATTCATAACAGAATTATCGGGTATAATTTGTACAATATATACAAAGGTGTTATATGTGCTAAACATGTGACAACACGTATAAATTATATTTGCTTGTGAATATCAAACTGCATTGAGAAAGAGATAGACTGTTTGTTGATAGTTTATAACTAAGGCTTTAACAGAATAATAAATTAGAATTATTGCTACAATAATAATAGTCAATATATCACATGAAGGGTACGGCGTTCTGGCCTAAATATCAAAGATGGATATTATCCTAATAACGAACGGCGCACAATGTGTGTATTGTATCGCATCGAAAGTTGCGAGTGAGTTCCTTGCGCGAATGAACTTAAGAAAGACACATCCTTTTGGTATCCTGTTGGTCGTGATAATCTCATATAATGCGAAACTCAAACGTTCGATTAAATCGATTAATACGACGCGCTTGCTTAGTCGTACAAATAATAATAGGTAAATACTTATTCGATTTAATATGCCAATACCGATAAGGCATATACGACACACGTATCGATGACGTAATAAGTTATTAAAATCGTCATTATCCACTTGAAACACGCGAAATATTCCTTCTATATTTATATATTACATTAATATATATTTATATTCATATGTATATGTATATACTTAATCGGGAAAACCACAAAGAATACATAGCTAGCGAAAAGTTCTAAATTTAGAGAACACTGATTGCACGAGGATATACTATATAAAGGTAACACATGGATGACGATGTTCCCAGGTATCGTGGATGCGACAATTGAAACGCGTTCCCCGTCTACAATATGCATCGTCAAACAAACAACACGAATCATGTGTTCATGAATAGGGATGCTGAGTAATGTGGCTTGGAATGTTAGCAGCTTCTGTTCGTGTAATCGATACCCGCTAAATACTTACTTTCAAGCAACATGCGTACTGTGTTGCAGCTATAATCGGCAAATAATGGGATAATGCGCGCGCGTCGGTCGGTGCGCGTGCGGCGGAGACAACGATCGGGCGGCGCTGAATTGAATATAATCGGTTACATACGCTCGTAAATACATATTCCCAACCGTATAAAACCGATTGCCACTATACTCTCCTCAATCGCCTCGTACGCTTGTTCTGCCCGCCGAATGCAGCCGATGACGTTGAAGCACCTATTAGAGCGAACCAATTAGAGAATTACGTACAATATAAATTTATCACAGTTCTAACTGTTGTGAGTTTCTTGCCGTATGCTTACTCGGACTTTCTATACTATTAGGAGGCAAAAAGAAGGACCCACAAGTCACCGATCTCTTCTTTCTGATGCGCGCGCTCTATCAATCTCTTCTAATGTACAATATCGAATTCAATTCTCTATACAAGATCATTAGAACGGGGCGTGAGTCTCCTTTCTACTTCGTTCGTTCGTTCGTTCGTTCGTTCGTTCGCTCGTTTGCTCGCTCGCTCGCTCGCTCGCTCGCTCGTTCACCCGTCTCGACGTGATTGCGTGGCAGAATGAAAAAATAGGAACGGAAGTGCACGGGACGTTAGTATATTAAAAATGTCTATGCGTTATTAATCGTATTATCTTGCACGTTCGAGGGCTAGTGTTTCCTTAGACCATTACGAGGAAAACATAGTGTTCTTTCGTTACATGGACGTAAATTGCTTTTTATCTGTATACGCTCCGCTCCGCTCGTCTGTTCGTTCGAAATATATCGCTTCCCGCGTTCAAGAAACCCGCTTATTCGTACAGTTTAATACTCTTCGTCTTCTGTCACTCCACACATGCATACAGACACACACACACTCACACACGCACACACATACACACATCTCTGTTCGAATATAAAGGGATCTTATTTCGCCGATATTGTAATCTCATTAAACATCGTTTATTCGATGATTAGGCAACGCGGCAGATGTTCACGCAAGTAATCAAACAGTTCTCGCGATGTTCCTGGACAATTAGTTAGCTCTAGCTCGTGTAAGTGTCGAAGCTGTATCAGACTAGATAAACCACCACTTGTGAGCAACGGGCAACCTAGGCAGAATTAGATCTTATTTAGCACACCTCTCTCCCGTAGCGAATAATTCAGTTACTTTCGTTCGCGACAATTGTTGCGATGCTTCGTTGAGAAAGCAGAGCGCGATTTCTCTAGCTTTGAATATAAATGTCGCCAACGACGACATGTTTATTTTGAATGGCAGAATGTTTCTTCTATCGTTCAATAGACTTTTAGTTTAGATCGAGGCATGAGAAGTACATCGTACCGATCCGTAATATTCCACTTCTCACGAGGAAAGTTGCGTAAACTATGATTCAATATGGGTATGCGACCTTACCTGCCACGGACAGCACCTGCAGAGATCTCATGACGCACAGATGTTGAAGTCCGAAATCTCTAAGTTGCGAACACCACCTCAGGAACAAGGCGCTCAGCGAGACCATCGTGGAGATGTAGCCGACGCCAATATCCGTGATGTGTACACACCTGCGAGGAATTACGATGCGCGGGAGACATGAGTGCGATATCGTAAATTATGCCGGGCATGTCAGGAACACGAAATAGCGGACAAGACGGCGCGCCGAGATTGTTAATGTCACGGCGAAAACAGCCGTTTGGCTGAACGTATAATTATCACTTTAGCGGCACCGCGACTTTCTGACACTTTGTGACACATGAGTCAGCGGCGTCGTTTCGTAACGCGCCATCTCAAATAGAATGTTTGGGTAAATACTTGTTGTTTTGTTAGGTAACTGAAAAATTCTAAGAGAATACCCCTCAAGAGCGCTACGCGGTTTTTCCAACGGGAATGGATGCTCGGTCTTCGTTTAGGCAAAATTAACTTTTCTGTGCCGAATGAATGATATGAGTCTACGTCTATGAGACAAAGTTCGACTCGTTGGAACGTAATATCTGTCCGCGAGATGTTGGAACGCAACATCTCGTTAAATTCTATGCAAGTACAACGAAGAGGCGATCTGTTAGGTGCGCTAGACGCTCGCCGCTAAATCGTAGTTTCATAATTTATATTACAATAACTTTCACTTACCTATCTAATGTGAGTTCTTCTAAGCTATTCAAATCACAGGCAATATATTCTAAGGCTGCGTCTGTAATCCTTGAGCACCAGCTCAGATCTAAGGAACGAAGTCTTGGCAAGTTTTCCGCGATTAATTCAACGCCGTCATCCGTTACTTTACTGCATCCAGAAAGCGATAGCACAGTCAGATTGGGCAAGGAATGTACTAAAACAAAGACGGAGACATTAAAATAACACTTCCAAAATTGCATGCGGTATATATAATGCATGAGAATGAGAATCACATCAGAATACTTGACGAAAAAGAAATACAAACAACATATCAAATGACATGTACAAAATTATTCCGTGAAATTATTGCTTTACGTGGATTTTAAATTATAAAAGATATCCATAAATACGTAGACGGACTTGCACAGAAATTTAATCTATTTGAAGCGAACGTCTAATTTGACATCCGCTTGTCACGTCGACTTTTGCTCTGAATTATCTTACAAGCATAATTGACACAGATAAATTTGGAAAAGGTTGCATGACTGAGGAATATGACAGAAAGTAAGATCCAACATTATATAATCCTTCGCAACATTCCCCGTCTAAATAATAGTATCGGGTCGTTGTTCGCGAGCTACACATGCCTACCTTGTAGTTACGCTTGCTATATAACTCGAGTCCGAACTACCGGTGACAGCTTGAAAGCTAAATAAAGCTGTGTTCCTTAATTCTAAATTTAATCCCAAGCACTATGCACCTGTCTTAATTTCGGCCTATCACTATTGTACATCTCGTTTACCTTTGCCGACCACCGTGTCGCGAACGAAACTCAATATTGGCAAGTGGCCCGTGTGTTTTGCGAATAGTATAATTCCACTTTACGCGTATAATCGTCATTCAATAACAGCGCGTAGCTCGCTACAAATTGCGAAGTCGATGGAATGTAACTACTAACCGGCGTGTTTTTTGAGATTGCATCTTTTCTCCCCCTCGTACGATGTGTACAATTGATTAGAAGATAAACGGAATAAATTAATTAATAAACGGTACAAGAATATATGCGTTTTCGACAGATATTTAGCTAGGAAGCTAAATCTACGCAAAAGAAGAAAAATGTAACAATGCCGGAAGTGCGACATGGCGAGGAGACGCTCACCAATATTTACTACACCATGATTTGTGAGTTCCCAGCAGGACTGGAGTCTCAGGATGCTAAGCGCGCTACTCTGTTTGGCACTGAAGTAACCAAGCGCAGCATCAGTGACGTGATAAGCCTGCAGGGAGAATTCGTAGAGACTCGGCAATAGCTGGGCGACCGCACCGACCGCCTCGTCGGCGACGTTGATGCAATCCGACAGGGACAACGACACTATTCTGGGGGTGAGGCAAGCCCACAGACCGGCTTCTGTTATCTCGTTACAGCCGGCCAATTCAAGCTCGTACAAAGCCTAAAAATAATAGCAAATTGTGAGTTCCCCGTGTCGATTCGTATCGTCGCATCGTATCGTACGACGCCGACACGTCGCGGATCCCGCTAACGAGCTTGCAGCCTTCAAGCCGCAGATTGTATGCGACTCGAATGCGAAACAGCTACTTTCGCCCAAGGAAAATGAAGCTTTTTGTGCGCCGGGATAAAAGCTGCCCAACAATAGGAGAGTATTCATATACGTATATATCGTCATTGACCTTTCGTATATTTATTATTGGCCCGGGTAATACGATCTATAAGAAGATCTTTTCTCGCTGTAGTAATCTTGCTATTGAGATCGCGTAAGAATCATTGTATGGATCCTTCTTGTGTGAATTTGATAGAATTATCCGGGGTAAAAAGTACGATGTATGGTTGCGCTTATTGTAATACTGAATTCGGAAGATCGTCCGAAGCTCGAGGAAAGATCCTCTCTGCATCTAATTTATTGATCATCTGAGTTTATTTTAAAGTTTAAACATTATTTTTCCTCTGTCAATTTTGCGATATTATTGCATTTATAATTCTGTTCAATTTTCCAATATATTATATCTTTTCGTTTAAATTTCTGCGTCTAACTATAATATATTCTTCGAGTGATAAAAACACGAATGCATGAAAAACATAATCTTCAATAATTTCAAGCAAAAATTCTGACTGAAAACAACATTCTATTTAAGTTAAGCAAAAATTTGGGTAATTTAGACTGAACTCTGGCAACTTCAACTGGAATTTTTGTATCCTTTATATACCACTGGAAAATTTTTTTTATTCAAACACAACGCAATTCCGCGATAAGCATACGTCGCGTCGACGTGGAGGCCAACGAAGGCGCAGTGGAGAGAAACTCAGGGATGAATAATAGCGAATTTACCTGCAAGTGATCCAAGAGAGCCTCAAGGCCCCGGTCGGTCACCGCGCAGCACCGCAACGACAAGGAGTGCACATATCGCTGTGCCAAGGGGAAACCGTGCGTCAACTCCGGGATGTCTTCATCCGCTGCGCCCGAGAGGACTAACGAGTGGAAACCTCTTCTTACTAAGGAAGCGTAGAGTCGGGTGCGCGAGCTGGGCTGCATAGCGCGGGCTTCGCGGCATCTCACCACCGGCACCAATCCCGTCCAGAGACGCGGTCTCGCGTACAGAACGTCCCTCCACTTGGTGCAAACCTGCAACGTGCAACGATAACACGACATTCGATTAAGGTGCACAGTGCGCTTATCTCGAGGTTGAGACCGCGATGGCGTAGAGCGTACAATTACGTTGCGGCTATCACGAGAGAGGATTGTCAGAATATACGGAATTGAGAATCTTTGGGGAGCAAGAGGCGAACCGAGAAGTGCACAGGAGATTTGAGACTCATAAAACACTTGGAATTTAGCTACATTGAGCTACGATCGTGAAACGAAGAATTTATTGAACAAATTAAAGTGAATGTCTCAGTTAGCGAGCAAGCAGCTTTATTGTGAAAATAAATTAATAAATCGATGTACGTGCTAAGTAAAGTAAGAGTAAAGTTGATTTTACTGGAAAGCTTTAACATTCCATAACAGCATTTTAATTATGTTATGTTTTTTGTCTCTAATTTCGAGAAAAATCTTAACTTATTTATGATTTACTTCTTACGGGCTTTCTTCTTCTTACAGATATGACTGAAGTATCATTTAGTGGCACGACAGCTTAGTTTTTGATTATTGACAGTTTAGTTGAAAGGCACTGAAAAATAATTTTGCACAGATCTAAAAAATGGATGCTTGATATCACCTCCTAAGATATCAATCATCGTAATTATGTTATTCCAGCCATTTACCATGATTTTTAATTCTATCCGAGATTGATAACCAAGTATAATATATGAAATTTAAAGTAAGAGTCAGAATAAGAACACATGCGTCTGAGAGAAATGCAATGTAAAGATATGGACTCGTATTAGTTGATTTATTAAGGAAAATCGACCCAACTGCCAAAACAGAAATTACAAATGTTCTCACTAATTGGAGCATTCATCTTATACTCTTCTCGATTCAAGAGGATCTAAGATTTCTCCTCCTGAGGTCGAAGATGCGACTCGATATGCAATATTTCCCCGTGCGACCTGCGTCTGTACAGATGTCAACATTAAACCGCGAAAATCTAAAAAAAGCTCTACTTCCGCTCGAGTAGCGACTCCGCCTGCGCGGCCCATGTTTACACCTTGGAATGCGGCTTGGAGCTTGAGAATTTCGTCATCGGTGCACGAACCTGAGCCAAGATCCTTCTCTCCGTTGCGTTGAAGAAGAGAAAAAATCGCCCGAGGAAGTTCTCGTCCTGCATCAGCTGCTCCCACGTGCTCGGCGCGACATAGCCGCCGGTGCCGCCGCTGGCCAGAGGCACGTTCTTTATCCTGTTCCTAGGTATCCTGCCTCTGCTAGGGGTGACATTGTTCAAGCTCTTGTTGCTCGCCGGCATATTGTTAATAGTCTGCGCGGCGCTCCGGCTGGGCTTCTCCGGCGTTGCATTCGCATTGTTCGCGCTCTGCAAATTCATGTAGGCGACACTGCCACTGCCGCAGAAGACGTTCGTCACGCGCTCCATAACGCTAGTCTTCCCGCCGCCTGGAAGGTGAACAGTCGATTTATACAAACGTAATTAGGAGGACTTGCCAGGCGATGAGAGCGCGCATTAGGCGATAAGAAATTGATTTTTCGGAAACACAAAGGACATAGCGTGTGAGGATATATATGTGTGTGTGTGTGTGTGTGTGTGTGTGTGTGTGTGTGTGTGTGTGTGTGTGTGTGTGTGTGTGTGTGTGTGTGTGTGGTGTGTGTGTGTGTGTGTGTGTGTGTGTGTGTGTGTGTGTGTGTGTGTGTGTGTGTATGTGTGTGTCTGAGAGAGAGAGAGAGAATCCTTCGAGCAATTTCGAAGGAAAAGCCAGAAGCGAAAAATCAGCCAATCGAAGAGCTAAATGAACATGAAGAAACCCACAGAGGAGTAGCTGGTTGGTCAGTAGAAATTCGTATGAAGATTACGGAACCGTTAAGTTCTGCACAAAAGAGCCGAGGATTCGTAAAATCTGAAAGCCGTTCCGAAGAAAGGTCGTTATGTCTGGAATATCATAGGTAAGGACGCGCGATAGCGATATTTGGACGATTTAAGCGTAACCGACTTTCCCGTGGCATGCGCTTGGCATACTTCTCGTCGTAAGATACATAGTAAAACGTAAGACAGTAACTCATCCGGCCAGCAGGCCAAAGAGGGAATTTTCCGCGGTAACCGGTCTCTCGAATAGAGACGCCATTAGCATATTTGCACCGTAATCATTCTTTGCGACGTTCAGCAAATCTCAAATGACGAATCGCTCTGGGCTGCTGCTAGGTAGGAGGGCTAGGCTCTCGTTTCATTTCATAGCCGTATGTCCTATTTGGCTCGCGGTACACCGCTATTTCCTGTTTGCCATTTATCTTGCGCATTATTTTTACTTTTAACGGCTGTGCGCATTAGACGGTCTTAAGCGGTCTAACGAGCGAGTCGCGATCAAATCGATCGACTGCCTTGGGTAGATCAATGTGCACGAAGCTGTGCTCGGGGGGAGACCTTTGTGCACATCTTCAAGATCTGCATCTACGCGGTCTCCATTAATAAAGCTTCTTTCGCTTATATATACACTTAAGCGTGATGCTGCGCTTCTCGCGATACACAGGGAGAATTCTTGAAAAGAGGAGGAACTTACGGTAAATTTTCATCGATGCTAAATGTGCAAGCTGATTTGGCGCAGCAGCCAGTCAAATCTAACTAATTTAGAACATTCCAAGTCCAAGGAGTGACATACATTCCGTATTCCTTGTGGGAAGTAAACTAAAAAAAATAAAGAAGAAAAAATAGTAACACATCGATGACTGGCAGGATTTACGTGCTCGCGATCTTCTCCCCGAGTTCTCATAAAAGTTCTTCATCTTCCTATCTAAAGGAGAGGCTTAAATGCATTCGAGCAATAAATGATCAAAGACAGCGAGCGAATATACATCGTTGCTTACACTGACAAAGTCCCCGTTGTCCCAAGTGATTTTCCTCACGCAGGAGTAATCGAAGAATGTGTATCCATTGCACATATATTACGCTCTCGTAGAATACCGCGAATTAAAATTTCAGCCGGGTATCCTTGACCCCTCCACCGCCCGTGAACAAGGATAAAACGTCCCCGAGTGGCCAGCGTCTCCATTCAGCCTCCCCTCGAAAAATTCCTTTGTCAAAATTAGGCGTATCAAGACCCAAAAGCCTGCATGTCCTTTTTTCATCCGCTCCCGGCCTGTCCGATCTCCGGTCGCGCTCGCCGTGATTTACCAGGCCCGGCCGCTGGCGTCCGTCCAGCCGCGGAGATTTCCTATCTGCGCGTCGAAAGGCAAACACGGTCGACGCGTGTCTTCAAACCGAATCGCAGCGCGATCAATCGCGAACGACGTGGCGCGCGTTGGGCAAGCGGAAAAAGGGCGACTCGAATCGGAGAGCAGCGCGCGCTCGATCGCCAGCATCAGGATGACGGACCATCCGATTATCGCGGTCCGTAGCTGCGACTGACCAGCGGGACTTTCGCGTGATCGACCGGATGGATCATCGGGCGGGCGGCGACGACGACTGCCGCTCGCTGAACGCGAAGGCGGCAGACCATTGCCGAGCAAAAGCCGAGCATTTCGCGTGCACAAGGACGGTTGCTATCGATTCCGCTGCAGTTAAGATTGCGACGAAAGTCACGTAGTGTCGCGGTGTCATTTAAATAAATTATGAGGGGGAATATCGCGTGGGCTAATAGGCGCGAGCTTTCTCGCAACGCGCGCACCGTCGCGCGCGTATCGCCGCTGATGCAAAATTACTCTTCATCTACGAGCGCGCGATAAAGGAAGCGGCGACGCGGGCGGGCTTTCACGGGGAAATCAATCCTTCGCCGTGATTACGTAACGCGACAGGCTCCCCGAGGTTGTGCTCAAAGGGGTTCGCGCGTCAACTCGGCCCTCGGTTCGGCGGTTCCACCGTCGTGGAAAAAGCCCCCCGGGCGACCGATGGCGGCGATCCTTCGCGTCCGCTTTTATTTTCCACCGCCGTCCAAGCGGAAGATAAACTTGACACCGATCTCACCCCTCGTCCCTGCGCCCCCGATAACGGGGAAAAATCGAAGCGGCGTTCGTACGCTATTACCGTACGGATTTAACACGAAGCACACGAGGCGTTGTGTTACGCACGTTACTACAAGCAAGAGGAGAAGGAGGAAGAGGAGGAGGAGGAGGAGGTGATGGTGGTGGTGGTGGTGGTGGTGATGGTGGCGGTGGCGGTGGCGGTGGCGGTGGCGGTGGCGGTGACGGTGGCGGCGGCGGCGGCGGCGGCGGCAGTGACGGTGGAGGATGGTAATACACGATGTAGGTGCACGATGACGAAGAAGCGAGGATGGGGGAGGAAGTAGAAAGAAAGTAGGTAAAAGCAAGTACTACAACAACAACAGGCAGAGAAAGAGGAGGAGCAGGAGGAAACGAAGAGAAAAACGGTTCACCACCGACCATGATGCTTGGACGTCCGTAATCCCAAACCGTTGATCCGCTTGGTCAGTTCGGCGCTGGCACGCTCGACGACGCCCTGCGCTGATATCGAAGACATGTCTCGATGTGGCACACGCACTCGTCGTCACCGTGTCTCAGTCCGCCGCGTCGATTCGTAGTCAAGAGTAGCACGGCTGGGTCTGCGGGCGATGAGGCCGCGTCATATTCGACGGCCGGTGGCCGCGACGATGGTGAATGCGGGGTGATGGACTAGCCGGACCAGCGACCAGTGAGTCTCCCTCGAGTGAATAACGCCGTGCGCCGACAGCGGCGGCGGCGGCGGCGGCGGCGGCGGCGGCGGTGGCGGAGGCGGAGGCGGAGACGATACTCGTCGGCGCTTCCCGCTCTCGCACGACGCACTCCCGACGCTGGGCAAGGGTGGACGAGGCGACGGGGTGGCGATCGAGGGGTTGGCAGTGCGCGCGGTTCGCGTCGCTGTCTCTCCTTTTTCTCTTCCTCCTCTTCCTCTGCCGTTGCTCAGCGCGTTGCGTCGCCGTGTGCGATGATCCTATCGAGGCTCCAGAAAGGGAGAAGAAAAAGCAGCAAGAGGAAGAAACACGTCAGGCGAGAATCAATAATCGCGATCGGCGCGGCACATCCGCCACGACGCGCGTTTCTGCGGGATTTCCGGGCCGGTGACGCGACGCGACACGACGCGACGCGACGCGACGCGACGACTCCGATCGTCGCCGAGCTCGCTCGTGCTTCCTCGGCGAAGATTAGGGCCGACACTACGCGTCGACAATGCTCTTCGCAGCTGGCCGTGCGTTTCTGTTTACGTATCCGCCGTCAGCGGTGGCGGCGATAGACATGGCAAAACGAAGCTTCGAGCGCGCTGCTGCTGCTGCAGCGACCACGGCAGCATGTGTGGGGTGGTTTGCGCGAGACTGAATCGATATTCCCGCTGAACTTGTTCGACTGGCGTTCTTCACCCGCCGCCCCCACTCGCCAAGCCGGAGCCTGACTGCCTTCCAGGCGCGCGCCTGCCAACGGGTGGACTGCTCGACAGCATAGCCTACATGGTCCTATTTGTCTCTTGGCTTTACCCTTCGAGTCGCGGCGATGAGTCTCCCTCCCCGATACTCGGTGTCTCGAGAGAACCGGGTCACATCGTCGAGATAATCGCACGAACCGAGATATATTGCATTTTGCAGCTGTAAAGGTATTGATTTGCTTGCGATAACGTGTTTGTATGTAAAACTAAAGATTGGAGAAAATAAAGATGATTGAATATGTCATTTGAAGAGAGTACTTGAACAGACACAAAAGGTTCTTATAGTTTCCATCGTGTGAGAAATCTTCTCGAGTAAAATCGATCGAGTTCCCATCCTTCCAGATTAAAGACGAGAAATTACGTGAAAACTACGAACTTTCTTCTCATTTCACTTCTGACCGTTTCTCTGGAAATAGATAGAACTGAAAGTTAAAGAAAGATTCATTTTTATTATGAATTCAAGATGTGTAAAATTTGCTTGGACGCTATCTTACGTTTCTATTTATATCGGTGTTTATTTGTACAACCGATAAAGTGAAATAAAATGCCAGCAAAATAGTCATTCTGACCCAGCAGCGTGCGATAAAGGATATTTGTGAAGTGGCGCTTGCATATTTACGTAATCGCAGTGATTGTATTACCGCTTGTCACATCGCCTGAATAAAATTTCAATCGGTTGACAGTTTAAAATTAGAAGACATGTATTGGTATACACTTTTAAGACACCTTATATACACCGATGACGTCCGAACAGCGTCAGAATAACGTTACCTTTTTTGCAAGAATACATTATTGGATATTTTACCAACACAACACGGAGGGATACAAGACGATTTCCTTTGGGTCGTGACGTCATGCGGAAGACATTTAAGAATGCGGTCGATTATATAATGAGAAATTGTATAGTATTTATTTTAACATTTATACATCGTTGTATTGGATGTAATATCTCCGATTTCCGCAATATAAAAAAAGGTTTCGTGCTTACGTTATCTTGAGACCAGCAATGGAATTCTCTAGAAGCTTGACAAAAGAAAAGGTCGATTAGAATGACATCATCGTCGTAAGTGACGGAATAAAATGCTGACACCACGCAAGTTACCTTTAAGTCCCAAACTACAAGTTGTCCGTCTAAACTGCTTGTGCTAAATTCATGATCGGATACTCGGCGAACACAGTTGATCGTGTTTTGGTGGACACTATCTAGCGCGTTATCGTTAGTCTCGTTCCTTGCTTGTCGATCCAAAGATTGGAACTTTCGCATGGCGGATAAACCGGCGGTCTCCTTTTTCTGCGTATTATCCAATTTCGACACAAAGTATATTTGCCCGTTGTCGTCCATGGAATATAACATCGGCATACAGCTATGACCCTGAGAGAGATAGAGATATCTAGTTCGGCTAGTACAGTCAGCAAGTCTATTTGTTGATAATGTGAAGAAGCAATCTGTCAATTACCGAGACAACAATGTTATTAGATCCTATCCAAATGCAACTTCGAAACGGTAAATGCTCTGTATACAATCTCATGACTGCGTTTCCTTTAGTAGCATCAGCGACACATATAGACGAATTGTGCGCCACCCAACAGATTTTATTGCCACAAGGACTGAACGCTACTGAATGTATCCAGCCACCTGAACGCAAAAGTATATTGACTTAAAATCAAGCCTCTTGCAGCTGAATTCCTTCATACAACAACCTCTACCTCCATTGGGTGTATTAGGAAACTCAGCCAGTAACGTCCCTAAGGTATTACTCTGACCCCAAGGGCTAGTACCAGGAGCATCCTCCATATCACTGATAAATCCACTGAAGACCCGGACCTTGTAATCTGTAGATCCAGCAACCAGAACCTTGTTATCTGGATGCCAATCAACAGTGGTCACTGTCGACCTTAAGGGACGCTTTATATGTTTACATAACCACCAGTTATTCTCTAATACAAAATAACAAACAGCTATAACTCGACCTCCAGAGCCCACAGCAAATTTGTTCTCTGTAAGAAAAACAATTATGTAAACATCATATAAGAAACATTTTCTGGAAAGAATCTGAACAAAAATTGCCCTTGCATGTATACCTAGAGGAGACCATTTTACGCAAGTGGCGGCCCGATTTATTCGAAGAAGAACCCACGCAGGATCCCACTTGCCATCTTCTTTCTGAGTCCACACATAAGCATTCTTGTCTGCAGAACAGGTGACTATGCGATTGGTCTTTGGCGCCCAGTCGATTCCCATCACAGCCATGTGATGCTCCTGCAGAGTCTCCAATAACTTCCATCCAGATGAAGTACGCTTGTGTACTTGGATCTCATTGTTGTTTGGACAAATAGCAACCTCTGCGCAAAACAAGCCATGATATTATCTCCTGTAAAGTTAAACGCCGCGCAAAACAGGCGGGAAATGAAAAAGAAAACGCGTCTTGCTTACCTGTTCTATCTCTGTTCCACGCATGACAACTGATAGCATCGACACCGAAGTTGTGGACCTCCGTCATTTCGCGCTCGCTACTTGCGACAAGAAATGCCTCGGGACAATCGCGATCGAGAACACGGCGGAGTGGCGATGGCGAGGCGGGATGTTTCGTGAAATCGGTGGCGATGAATCAGCGGACACGGTGCGAACGCTCGACGGGCGCGGTCGCCGATTAAACTTTATTAACGAAAAACTCCAGCGTCCGGAGGCGATTATTCTACGGCGGCGCTCACTCACGGAAATTCGCGGACTCTGGTCAGTCTACACGAATTTCCCCGGCCTCTTTCTGCGGTCGCAAAACACGCCCCTCTGCACACCGGAATTGACAGTCCATCCGTAGATAGCGAGTTATCTGTCGCCACTTGGAGGTTATGTTGTCCCGGATATACGTATCATACCGTAGACGAGCCACTCTTTATACCGATTTTGTCCTTTCCGGTAGCGACCTCCGTCGAGATTCGTCATCGACATAAGAGAATATAGACGGTACTTCTTATGTGAAGCGGCTTGGAGCAACTGAAATTAGCTAATAACGCCTATTACATTAATTAACATGTAAAAATGTAAGTTTGTTTTTTTCTTTTTTTAATATTGTCCATCAGTAGATAGAAACGTTATGTATTCTTTTTTCATTTACTCGTATCTTGCACCTAACGTATCTTTGCCATTCATTATCAGGTTTTTTAACATTTCTTATCGCCGTTGTCTAAGGTCATTCAAATGCTTACAATACAGATTAGCCGTTCAGATTCTATTCGTTACAAAAGGTGGATGTATCGTCAACGTTAAAATTCCGTTAAAATAAAGTTTTAATAGATAACTACACGACAGGGACATAAATGTGAAGGATAAGAAACAACAATATGTGGTTTGATATAAAGAAATTTAATACAGTTAAATATTGTTGTATCTATAATATTGTTGTAAATATCGATGCATCTATACAAAAAAAGTTAAAAGTAGACAGGCGTATTGCTATGATTTTTAAATAATATGGGAGCTATATTTATATAAGTTTTTGCAAATAAGATAACAATAATGTATCTACAATTTTTTTTGCGATAACGACACACGCCGCGTTACAAATCGTACTATATATGTATATAAAAGTGCAAATATGCAAACATCGCTCGAAAGGTGAAAAAAGTCCATGTAAAATCGAAATTATTTACAATGATGTATACATACTTTTTTATATAGCTCTCAATATATGTGTTATTCATTAACACGTATATGTATATACGTATACGAATATATATGTTTCTGCATTTAAATCTACGTCAAAAAACATAACATATTTGCATCTTTTCGTATTCCGCGGTACCGGAAAGCGATATATATATCACTTGTTGAACCTATATTTATTTCTTTCTTATTCGCAATTTAATTTCTGTCATCCATTTTCAATTTAAGTTTTGCACTGTTACCAGACATATAAATTGGTATATTGTGTGATATCTAAACGGTCATTGGACGCAACACGATTCGGTAATTACAATCAGCTGCCTCGAGTAATTAGCTGCGATTGTGCGAACGAAGGCACAATGTTGTCGACATCTCGAATTAATCGGTGAGATAAAGAACAAAATGCATAATCAATTCAGGTATAAGTGGGGAGCATATTACTGCTACACATAATACATTTTTGATCAGATGATGTATCGGTTGGGCTGTCCGAATAAATAGTAATACGGTATTCACTACAATAACACATAACATTCTTAATTCCTGCTACTAACGGCACTGGATACAATCCTAGAAAATAGTAATTCACGCGATTTCGGGCTGAGTAGGCGGTACGATACATATCTATTCATGTTATTATAGTATGTCTATAGACTTACGTATGTGTAATATTGTAATTAAAGAAAGCTCGAAATTATGCACACCAAAAATTGGATCTACTTGAATTTGAAAGCTGACGTTTGCCACGTTTACATGACAAATGCAAAGATCGAGACTTTAATTGCAAATGTCATGTCATCCGCTATAATATGTAATATAAAATATATAAACATATTTATACAAGTGATATAATACGATCGGTATTGAATGGCAGAATCATATTAAAATGTATTCGATGATTGAAATTATTCGTATTCTCCTTATTCTAGAAGAAATTGAAAATGTCGAGACGATACAGCGCGCAGAAATTTAGCGGTGCAAACATTTATAAGTAAAGTCGCGAAAGTATAAAATGGAAAGTCCAGTCAAAATTAATAATAACATACGATTTATACCTTTATCTTAAGAGAGCATTATAGTAATACCGAAACACAAGGTTAACAGTACAAAGAAAGGGATGATTTTTGTTGTCTTAATACTTCTCACTCGCTGTAGTCAATTAAATAGTTTGGATATACTACTATATGGTCCAAGCATTTTACCGAAATGTAAATTTTGAAATGTCGTCACGTACCTTGAGATGGAAATAACAAAAAATATACTTCGTTGTATTATTGCAATTGTGAATTATTATAGTTATTAATGGCGAGATACGAACCTGTATCATGTTAAGATTTTACCGTCTTCTTGATTAGAAAATGAAAATTAAAATAGAGTTTATACATATTTTGTTAGAATGAAATATGGAAGGAAAGTTTTTCGATTAAAAGTTTATGTCTTTATAACATTTAAATCTGATCAATAAATTAATTAACACTTGATCTCAATATAGTTTGGACATTTTTTCTTAGGTGTAACTTAAAACACAACCAATAGTCCAATGAGGGATCTTTTATTAATTTCCAGAAATTAAGTTTCACTTTAAATCATTAGCTGTGTGTCAATTTGCATCGAGAAAAAAGACGTCCAAACCACATTAAAGTCAAGTGTATATATATATATATATGTATATATATATATGTATGTGTGTATATTTTCTCATTTTTCATGAGACAATATTGTTATTACGCATTTCAAACATTGCTCTTATATGCAGGGTTCAAAGTTGACTTACTTGCTTCGAGGCTCATTCTTACACGGATATTTAAAAATGTACTATGTTATTATCCGTAAGTTGCGAAATCTTAGGGCTGTACCTATATAAATCTATTTAAAAAATTCGGCATTGTAACCGAATTGATGACAAGCTCAAATAATTTTTGAGAAAAAATTATCGAATAGTACTTCCTCGTTCGAGAACAAGTTACAGCAGATGTTTCCTATTGCGAAGAATGGCAAGGCGTGAGACGTTATGATACTCATGGTATCTATCGAAGTGAAGATACGGCGAGGATTAATGGGAAATTGTAAACGAAGTCTCGAACCTGAGTTCGACGATTTGCCTATTCGTCAGCAGGCGCAAGATTTTTTGGCGCTCGTTGGTGATTGATTCAATGTAAATCTCTCGCCGTCCGTCTGGTCTTGGGAGCCGTTGCCTTTCAGAAGCTGGTCATTTTGAAGTATCTAAAGCAAACATTTTGCAATATAAACATTTCATAAATACTCTACAATTGAAATATTTAAAATACTACATCGATTCCTCAGAAAACTAAAAATTCCTTCCGAATGCTATATTAATTTCTTAACAAAAAGTTAAATAAATAATAATAATAATAATAAGATTGACCACAAGTATAACGCAACATGCCAGAAACGCTGGTCAGTTTTACGTTGACTAATTAATTATGCTTCATAAGTCAATCGTTTTTAGTACGACGGACGTCACTAATAAATCCATCGTACGTCATGCATAAGCGATACGCGTAATACACATGAATGACACTGTAAGGAGTGAAATTTCTAAGTGAATTGTATTTCTTCTTTCCCTCTTTCTCTCTCTCTCTCTCTCTCTCTCTCTCTCTCTCTCTCTCTCTCTCTCTCTCTCTCTCTCTCTCTCTCTGTTTTCTTTAATTTTCAAGAAGATTCAAATTGTTTCTCGCGGTTAAACATTTAATTTTTATAACAAGCCCCTTTCTAGATTTATGTCGCGCAAATAATAACAAAACATCTCTTACTTTATTGACCAGGAATCGAGCTGCTTCCTCGATATTAATGTTTTCCTTCGCTGACGTCTCGAACCAACCGGAAAAGTTTTTCTCCTTGCAGTATTCGTCCATCTTGTTGGGTGAGTTGACTAAACCTTCCTTGTGCTGGTCGCACTTGTTGGCCAGTAAGACACAGGGTATCGGCGATCCATCAGGTAGCTGTACTTTCGAATCGAGGTCCTGTTTCCACTTCACCACCGCGTCCAACGTCGCGCTTCTCGTCACATCAAAGACTATGAAGGCACCTACGGCTTCCTTGTAATAAACTCTGGTCATATTTCCAAATCTCTCTTGACCTACGCATGAAACGGATAATGAGTCAATGAGAAGCTGCCTGGACACAATTGTATCATAGTAACATAATATTTATGCGAATAATAGATTCGTGATAAAGCATTGTAATCGAACATTGCGAACGCAAGCACGCGATGGCTCGCGTATATTTCTGGCTGACAATCGTATGAGTTTAGAAGCGTTCGATGTATCTGAAGTATTCTTTTGAATAAAGTAAACAAGAAGCGAGCGCGATTGAGAGAAATTGCGCTCTGACGCGTCGTGACGCGTGTGAAACGTTAATTTATCTATCGCACGCGTATTACGATCTATTATTAGTCAGTAAAAGAGCATTATGAATTACGACTGACCTGCGATATCCCATAACTGCAGCCTGATGATGGTGTGTGGATCCCAGTTTAGCACTTTGAGCGCAAAGTCGACGCCAATCGTCGCGCGATAATGCTGAGAGAAAAATTGATGAACATATCGCTTGATGATAGATGTTTTCCCCGCCCCGAGCTCGCCGATTACCAGTATTTTATACAAGTGCTCCCGTTTCTCGCCTACTCCTCCGAGATTCGGCGCATTATTCGACGACTGCGAAAAGAAAGACGGGGAAATCCGTCAGAGGCGTTTCAACACACAAGCTCTCTGTTTCGTTTTTAAGATCACGCCGAGATACCATTTTTTAAAATCACGCCATAACGCCCTTGTGTCCTTCTGCTTTCGTGGACGATTAGTGAAATTAATAATATTTAACAATTATACGCCGAGTGTATTCACGAATTCACGCTTCATGTTAACTAGCGATAGCGCAATATCAGAGTATCGAGGAAGAAATCTCAGCAAACGGCTTGCGCGTTGAACATTTGAGAGTTGCACGATCAAAATGCTTTTATATTCGTAGTCGTAATAAGTGTTCAGTAACGGATATGACTTATGAACTCTGAAACAATCGACTTACGGATTCAATATTTGCTGACAACCCTCTGTTTACTTTGGTGCTTCTATTGACGATGCTAGAAGCATTGATGAGAGACTCGAAAAGACCGCACGAATGATACATTTGGTTGAACGATAAGTTGAGCGTGCAATGTATCGAACACACCTTCTTTGACGATGAAATGACACTGTTTACGGGGACGCGATAAAATCACATATAACACGAACGAATCTGTGCGCGCGTTTGCGCGTGCGTGTGTGTGTGTGTGTGTGTGTGTGTGTGCGCGTATATGTGGGGCGCACCTTTGCGGTTCGCATCAGTTTCTTCGGCTGTATTTTCCACTTGCTTAGATCAATCGTCTCGAAGTTCCGCCAAACTTTCAAACTCATGTTCGTGAGGCCAGACGTCGTTTATCACGCGCACGATACCGAGAAACGAAGACGACTAATGGCTCTCGCACTATTCGCGCGTAATCCCACAGCCGCAGCTTGCGCGAACGAAATGGAATAACTGACTCACACACAGGATGACAGTGACTCTGTGTGCCACAGTTATCCTCGAGTTCGTACGAGGGGTTGCGACAGAACCGTGTTTATGTGTGTAATTACATGTATGTGCGGGTAAGATAATACGAGTCTTCGCCATTTCAACGAGCCTATCTGTCGCACGTCTTAGCAATCGCAGGCGGAAAGTGCAGAGTTCGAATTTCGAGGATCCTCGTTTCGAACGCGATGACGAATCGTCGAGGTGAGCTACTTGGCTCGGAGAAAGTTTGCAGTTCGGCCGATCACTTTCATCTTATCTCGATTAACGTCTAATCCTCGGTCCTCTGTCTATGCGCCAATTTGTCCCGCGCGGAACTTTTTTTCTCAGACGCAGGTATGGCGTGACAGAACACCGCGCAAAACCACGTAACCCGAGACTCCGTAACAGACGAGAGCACATGAGATCCAAAGAGGCAGAAACGAGAGAGCGCGGACGGATCGGTATCAGGAAGGACTCTTACAGCGTACTTACGTCAGTCGCGAGGTTACCAGTTAATCATCCAACGCACTGGATTTTTCGTCTGATGCAAAGATACTTTGGTCGACACAGTATACGTTTTCAAGTTTAAAATTATTATTTCAGACAGCCCAAATAATCGGGACCAAACGTTCGTTGTACTGAACGATCCACTTGAAGTTCCCACTCGAAATATCTCGGAAATGCATTACTCGGAAAAACGTTTCAGACAAAAGTCTCGGTAATGTTATCGCCCTGTCAAAACTATACAATTTTTGTCTGAAACATTTTTTCATCAGCGATGGATTTCTGCCGAGATACGTATTTCCGAGGCGGCTACTTAAGATTGGTCACTCTTGCTATATTAAACGTAAACACCGTCTAATCTCCTCGTTAAAATATCGCTCAAACGTCAATGTCGTTAGCTCTCATTGGCCTTTAATTTCTTCATTTCGATTGCTACATCTCGAGAGCCTTTTTATTTCACATGTTATTTTATATGTTTCTTAGTTCGGTCGAATCGTGACACGTGCCTAAGAAATAAATAAAATAATATCTACAACGTAAGGAGAGAGTTCACTGCTCGTCTTATCCCGCAGCGTCTTAAAATCAATTCACAAGCAACAAGTCGGATCGGTTCCTCCTTTTGGCGATATAAATTGCCCAGCAATGTTTTTGCTGAGCAGTTTTTGTTCACACGCGCATAAATGCGCAAATGTGGGGAGCGCGCGATGCACCGAGCGATTCGAGCTATCGCATTTCCATCTTCATCAAGCTGCACTACATACAATACCTGTCACCGTGCGTGATACGCAATTCAATATCGCCCACTCGGTGTCGTAAAACATCGGATGTAGCGTTAACAGAGGACAATCCCTACTAGCAGCGTCGCCGTGTCCTACTCGCAGAGTCTCACCTTCTCAGGATCCTCCACAGCCCCTACCATTGGCGCCATCGCGGCGTGAAAGCTCGAGTATTTGCCGTCCTCTCTGTCGTAGCTCTCCGTGTAATCCTCCTCGATACCGCGCGAGTAACCCAATCCCGCGTCCTCGTCGAAGGTGGAATTTTCAAAAGTGGAGAACAAATCGAAGGTTCTCACGCTGATGTGCCGCGCCTTCTTCTTCTCTTCCTCTCGCCGTTCGAGCGGCTCGTCAGCGGTACTGAGCTTACCGTCGTCTACGGGAACAACGAGGTCGTCGATGGCGAGGGTCTCGTCCGACTGTGAGTCCTTGGTCGATTCGAAGTACCGTCGCTGAAATATCGCTCGCTTCTCCTCCAGCAAGGACAGTTTACGGCGGACCTCGATGGACGACGATCTCGACACCGCCGAGGAATCTACCGAGTCGAATCTTGCCTTCACCTTCTTTCTGCTCGTGCCCTCCGTCTCGCTAGGTTCCGGCCATCTCGACACCGCGTATGGAAGCGTCGAGCTGCATTGCACGTCGGTGGAACGAGGTGGAACGTTATCACGTTGCTGCTCTTGCTGCTGTTGGCTTTGCTCGTTGTCTGCGCAGGGGAATGCGTGTCACAAATTTGGGAATAAGTGCTCTCATGGAGTGGAGTGGATACGCGATTATCTCGTCAATGTCCCGGGGAATTTTCAGCGGTTCTCGAAGTGACGCTCATAACAGCGTCTCCAATCAGCCGTCGATGTGATTAGCCGAAAATAAAAAAGAATGTCCTCGGACATATCGATCATCCCAAATATGGAGATATCAATGAAATGAATATGAAGGATACTAAAAGTGGATTCACGACTGCTCTGAATTGCTTTTTGCCGGCGCTTATCGAGAATGAGATGAGACAAGGATCTTTACATATGTACTAGAAACCGACACATGTGTGTGTGTGTGTGTGTGTGTGAAAGAAAGTTTATATATATATATAAAAAAAATAGAAAAGAAAAGAAAAAAACAAAAATTTTTTTTGAGAGAGAGGGAGAGAGAGAGAGAGAGAGAGAGAAAGGAATAAGAGAGCGAGAAAGAGGAGTAAGTCAGAACTCCGGTACGATGCATTAAAGTTACATCGCGTTGTTTATCGTTCAAATCAATTAGGCTCTCCCGCCTTTTAGTCTAGCGAGCAGAAAGACCCGATGCCGATTTTATTCCGTCGTAGCGTCAACATGACCTCACCCTGCTGCTGCTGCTGCTGCTGCTGCTGCTGCTGCTGCTGCTGCTGCTGCTGCTGCTGCTGCGGCTCTTGGTACTGCACAGTTCTTGAGAAGCTCCTGATGGTTAAGGACGGTGATCTACGTTGCACTACGGTGACGGTCTTCACCGGTTTCTGCAGCAGCTTTTCCGATTTCTTAAGCTCCTCTTTTGCCTTTTCCCTCTCCAGGGCGTCGTCCTCCTTCTTCCCGATGCTAGTCGGGCTGTGCGGGTGCACGGGCGATTCTTGGGAGGACTGACTCTTCGACCGACTGCTATCACTACCCTCTAGGGGCTTCTGACGCGATTCTTGCTCCGAAGACAGGCGGAATTTATTCAAGCTCAGTTTGCGCACCAGCGACTGCGACTTCTTCTTCTTCTTCTTCTTCCTCAAAGCCGCGGCCGAGACCGTGTCGTCGGCTGTCGCCGGCGTTTCCTTCTTTTCGTCTAGCTCGAGCTGCTGCGACTGCTGCCGAGATACCTCTGGAGCGGAAGAGGATCGCGAGTCAAGAACAACCGACCAGCGGCCCCTCGAGAACCATCACCCTCATGCATGCGCGAGCGAACGGAATCTTTTCAACGCGTTTCCCTTTGCAATCGTCGTTTTCGGAATCAATGATTGCCCGTGATTGAATCCCCGTGAGAGAAATAAAAAAAATAAAAAGAAAAAACCAAGCGTAGAAGGTGCGAAGAGAAAAGAGAAAAAGAAAAAAAAATATCATTCAATTGCAGCAACTCGCGCGGCGATCATTTAGCAGCCGCAGGGCGGCGTAAGAAAAACGTGACGAACGCGTCGCGACGAACGACTAGCCTGTCTGTTTGCCGTCTAATTATCTTTCACATACGCTCGCATAAGCGACAAAATGCCAAAGTTCGGGTCGGGTTCATCCGAGTTTTAACCTTTGTCATCCTGTTCCGGGTCCGCCTCGGCGGACGCGTCGGTCTCGCTCGGGCGCAGTCTCTTCTTGATCTTGAATATACCACTCTCTCGGAGGCTGCTCTTGAACGCGTCGAATTTGCCCCTCTTCCGGTCGTCCGTGTTAACACCGGTGGAGAGTGTCGCGAGGCCGCCGCTACCACTGGTCAAAGTGTCCAAGCTGGAGCTGCTGTCGCCGACGGTGATGTATTCGCCGGAAGTGCTGGCCTGGGGCTTCTGTTTCTCCTCCTCCGACGAGGAGCGCGCGACCACTGTGTCGAGCGAGCTGCCACCCTCGTTCGTGCTCTCGCTGCGATCCATGTTCGCAGCCGTGGAAGGAAAGGACCGAGAAGGAGCGATCGCGCGCGCCTCGCGATTCGTTGCGAAACGTGACGAATGGAGGGATGGATCGGCTGGATCGGAAGGAGGAAGGGTCGATAACAGGCCGCGAAGGGCCTCGACGTGATTTCGCCCGGCCGTCGGCGAGAGCGTTTCCCGCCTCTCTCCCGTCTCGCTTCACTTTCGGCGCGAAGACCACTGCATGGCTTCCCAGCCGCTCGCGGAAATCTTACAACAGCTCCAACCGGGTTCGATCGACCGCCAACGAATAATCCGTCCCCTCTGCTCCTCTCGGTGGCCACCCCTCGTTCTTCCCGAGGGGTTATTTCTCCGTCACACAAACGGGACGACGTAGTCGAGTCGGAGAAGCCTGGTAGCCGACAAGCGCTCTCGGTGCGGATTGCGATTCGGTCGAATCGCCCGTTGTTGAATGTCGGCCGATGAGTCGAGCTGATCTTCGATTATCGCGGAGTCACGCGCGCTTCGAAAGAGCACGGGCTTTCAGGGCGATATCGAATCGAGAATTCGGCGAACGTAGCGCCACTGAACGTTGCGAAATACGGGAAGAAAAAGAGAGAGGGAGATGAATGCTGGATCTCTCTTTAGCCGTGGTACGTTGCGATTATCTCCAGCCGGCGTTTATCTCCGCGCGCACTCGCACTTCTCTTCTTGCGGTTCACACGACGTCGCCGTGCGATTACGCACTTACGAAATCGTCACATTTGCCACGTGCCGCGATCGTTGCAATGTCGAGTTTCCAAGCAGCGATCACACGCCGACGATCTCGATCGCGGGATCTCGATGCGGAAGATCGGTACGAGCCGAGACGGGAAGTTAGAACTATGACCGAAGGAAGGAACTGCAAGCTCAACGGTGTCCTGAGCCGCACTAAATGTTGATATAAAAATATAAGGGACTGAAGAGAGAGAGAGAGAGAGAGGCGGGGCATGCAAGTACCCCCCACCACATGAGCATTCCACGGTGCGTGTGTATACGATATGTACACATGCACCGGTCTCATGTTCCTCGGGCGTACTCGAGAGGTGCGTGCGCTCGTTGCGTCTACCTTCTAGTGCACACCTCCGCGAGCGCGCTGTTGAATGTAAGGATATCGTGTACCATGACCGCGGTTTTACATGGATTTCGCGGTTGTGTGCGTGGCTCGCCACAATCTTGTCTCGTCGTAGCTCTAGCTATCGCGGAGATCACCGCTCGCGCGAGTGTGCGAGAGAGAGAGAGAGAGAGAGAGAGAGAGAGAGAGAGAGAGCGCGACGTTGCGTAAAATTCGCAAGCGGCGCGATAGCGCAATGATAAGCGCGTACGAATGGTGCGAATTGCGTGAAAAACTCATACGCGGCTGTGCGACGAGCGGTGCGCTTCGCTCGGTCGCGCATAGCGAAATCGGCGGCGCGAATTTCATCATCGACTTTTAACCCTCGGACGCGGCGAACAACGACACGCGACTGTTCGGACGCTTGCCAAGTGTGTGTGCGTTTGTTTGTCGAGACCGTTTGGATTCTCTAATCGCGCGCGTGACATGCGCGATAGAATATCGCGCGGAAAATCAGGCGACTCAACAGTCGACAGATCGTTCGATCTGAAGACTGTTGACGGAAAGACGGAAAGACCGGCGAGCGGTCCAGCGCGATTTCGAATCCGCTCCGTCGGAGGAGGAAGCGCGGAGCATGCGTTTCGTCGCGGAGCGCGAACGCGTCTGATATATAATTGACGCGTTTCGCAAGCGCTTTTGCTCCTCCAATTAAGCCGCCCTGCGTCCTCGCGTCATTATTCCGGCAAATTAATTAATCGAGTCGCGGATCAGCCGCTGATAAACGCTGAGAGCCGGCTCGAGGCGATGACGGATAAAGAAATAATAAGATGATAATGTGCCGCTAATGCGTAGATTAGAGCGAACTTTTCAGCCCGCAATCTTAATTGCCTAAGCGCGCAATTGCGCGTGCGTTGTTCTGCGTTTTTCCCCCCGGTACTCGCTTCCACGTCGCACGCAATGTGCGTATCTTTATGACCTTTCGATTACTTGTTGCTCGATTACCGCAGTAACATTCGATATCATCGCGAGTCATTTTCATTCGAGTTTCTAAACGAATCTCGAAACGTTGAAACGCCCAGGATAAATATACAGTAATTCATAAATTTAAATAAATAATAATAAACGCTCCGCTGAAGCTCCCAGCGGAGTATTTATGGACGGCGACGTATCCTTCGTGCGCGCCGGAGTTGCGACCGCGACGATTCATATCTTTCGTATAAGTCGTCTGTAATTAAATGTTTAAGATATCGTTCACGGTTAATGCGCGTGAAATGAGTCAACGCGCCTTCGGCTTCGCCGGTATAATGACTGCGAACAATCGCAGGGCGAGGAGCATCGCGAGCGTGCTTCCTAGGCGATCGATCTAAATGACCGTCGTCCGCGCGCAATTATCCTGCGGATTATTCGCGCGATTAAAATTACGCAACGCACGCATGACGGCTCGTTCTTGTCTGAAATGACACACGCGGACAAAGAGACGCGCACTGGCGGTGTAAAGTGACGCCGGAGAAATCGCGAGGAAGGATCTAGTCGGTCCACAATCTCAGATATTCATGGCGTTTTTACAACCGCCGCAGCGTCTGCGCTGCGCCAGCAGGACCTCTTCCGTCGAATCGCGCAATGTGCGCGTCGCCGATTAAGAGTCCTTCGCATCGACGAGTCGAGTCGCAACAAAGGGCGGAACCAAATGAGAAAGAGATTCAAGCCGAAGTAAAATCTTGCTTTTCCATATCGGTATTCACACAATGCGCTCCATCTTCAAAAAGAGGAAAAGAAAATAATTTTCTTTGCGAGCCGACGTAAGAGAAAGAGATTCGAGCCGAGGTAAAATCTTGCTTCTCCATTCAATATTCACACAGTGGTCCATTTTCAAAAACAGGAGAGGGAAATAATTTCCCCTCGTACCTCGACCTCGTACCTCGACGTAAGCGAAAGAGATTCGAGCCGAGGTAAAATCTTGCTTCTGCATTCAATATTCACACAGTGGTCCATTTTCAAAAACAGGAGAGGGAAATAATTTCCCCTCGTACCTCGACCTCGTACCTCGACGTAAGCGAAAGAGACTCGAGCCGAGGTAAAATCTTGCTTCTCCATTCAATATTCACACAATGCTCCATTTCCCAAAAAAGGAAAAGGAAATAATATTCTTAACGAGACGACGTAAGCACGCGTGAAAAGTGCCGAGACAAGAATTGACTCTTCCAGCGCTTCCAGCGCATAATGTAACGCGCGTGACGCAACATCGAGGGTAAAATCGCCGTCTCGCTTCAGTCGCTAACGAATTATACACCTAATCTAATTGTATCCTCCGTCTGTGCTTGTGCGCGGAGTAGATCTTCTCGTCGCGATAATACAGCGCTGCAGCGCGAGTCGGAGAGAAAGTATCTCCCGATAATTATACAGACTCGCGCGCTTCAAGAAAATTCTATCCAACGCGAGAGCGACGTTTCCGTGAGAAACTGCGTTATGATGCAGCTTACACTTTCATTGTTTGCGCGCGCGCGCGCACAAGTTGCTCGCAAGCGACGGGAAAGATATTCGGTGAAAACGCGATTTGCATGCGTGAGGAATGCACCCACCTTTCGCGCGGTCCTGACGGTCTCCTGCTTGCAATTCTCGCTGAAATTCATATTAAGATCGAGATACAGGTGATTGTAGTTCAACAACAGCGCGGGCGGTTCCATGGGCGGCGGATTGGCCTCCTTGTTGTGCCTCAAGCGCCTCTCGGTTCTCTCTTGTCGTGTGCGCAGTACAAGCACTACATTTCGGTCCAGCATGCTTACTCTCTCTCGAAAGATTCGACCGAATTCGCTCAAGCCCGCGGTATGTCCGAACCGGCCGGCCGATCGGGCTCTTAACAACACTGCACTGTCCTGCGCCTTTCTGAATCTAGATTTAGACGCGACGACGCGAGATTAATGAGAGTGTCCTCATCCAGTGTCCGACCTGGAGAGCTCACAAGATTCGAAAGAATCTCGCGATCGCGCTGAAGGTAAACGGTACAACGAAGAGGAGAGAAAGAAAGAGAGACAGAGATATAGGGAAAGAGAGAGAGAGAGAGAGAGAGAGAGAGAGAGAGAAAAAGAGAGCGTCAGCTCGAACAAGATACCGTCCCACGTCCTATGTAGTCACGGCACATATTGATATCGAGTCGTGGCCCAATTTGTAATCGCTAGCCGCTCGCGGATTGACACTTTACGGCCTTCGTCTTTTTGCGCGTCTGTGCGAGCGCGCGACGAGCGCGTTTGTCGCGGAGCTCTGTGAATTTTCCGCGGCGCGACGGCGAACGCGGCGGGGAATTCGCGCGCGAACCGGCCGCAAGGGAACGATGGTGACGGACAGTGTGCGCCGCACGAGTGCAAAGTCCCAGCATTTATTGGTTTGACTTAGCCCGAACGTTATCATCTCCACCATGTTATCGCAGTAAACGATACAAAAAATGTTAAAAGCGCCTTGCAGACACGCTCGTTTTTCGAAGCAGCGCGCTCCAAGCGGACGAGGAAGGAAGAAGAGGTCTCTACGAAGCTGACGGCGGCGACGGCGACGCGATGATGGTGATGATGACGAGGAGGAGGACGATGATGCCGATTGGGGGAATGCGCGCGTCCGGATGTTGCGCGCGCGGCGCATGTATCCCGCGCGCGGTTGGTTCACGGAGTCACCGACCTCGAAAAACCGAAAAATCCGGACGTCTTCTTCTTCTCCCAGCTTCTTCTCCTTTTTGTCTAGAAACGGCACGCGCGTGTCGCTGCAAACGACGCATCGCGCGTTTCTACGCGCTCGCGTAAATTATACTTTTCTTCGCTGCTGTTCAATGACGTCGACGGAAGGCCCGTGTTGTCGGCGAATTCACCGCGTGACGCGTGCGCGAAACTCTTTTCCTCTTCTTCTTTGCTCTTTCTCGACGTCTCTCTTCACGATTCCGCCTGTTTTCATTCATTTATTCTCATCACGCAATAAAAATTTTAAAATCCGCTAGCGTCGCGGAGCGAAGGGAGAGACGCGTCGTTTTTGGTCGCGTGCGTTATCGATCGCTCCGGTAGCTGCATCAGTCATGTCGATTGCCAACATTCGTATGCATGTGTGTGTGTGTGTGTATGTGTGGGAGGGGAGGGGGGACGCCGAGGGATGGTGGAAAAAAAGAGTCCGTCAATGAGTAGATTAGTACATGACCATCGTTATAAAAAAAGCGCCATCGTTATCGTCGGCTAGTTTATCGCCGAGTTTGGAGTTTCGTCACTCGATCGGGAATTTCGAAATCGCGTCATCAGTATGAGCGCGATTGTTTTCGAGTGTTCGGCTGCTTTCGGCCTGCGGTGGAGCAGAATAGTGACGTAAAAAAGCAATCGCGCGTGAGGAATAACAAGCTGAACCGTGGTTTTCGCGAACCTGTTTACAAGAACAAGCATGGTAGTCGCGCGGTGCTCAAGTCCGCCGCGGGGGCCGCTGTTCCGCGGTTTCGTCGCTGTATTCTTTCCTCTGTTGAGGAAAGGTCTTGTAATCGAGTTACAGCGATCCTGTGACACGATTACGTGCGCGCGGCCGATCGTCGTCCTTCGACGACGCGAGCGTTTTCCGACGTGCATTTCGTAGCGGAAACGCAACACGCACGAGAGATCGCACACGGCTCGACGTACTCTCTCCTCGACGTATCGTAAATGACAATTCAGTTTGACGACGGCGCGATTTGCGCCTGTGCGACAGCAAATACACGCGCCGGCGCGCGTACGAGAACAAAGGGGAAGCGCGCGCGCGCGTTAACTTACGCGACGCGCGTTTTGACGATCGAAATATACAATCGCCATTAATTAATGTGACCAGAGGCGTGAACCAATTCAGTATCAACGCAATAAGTAAATGCGCGGAAGCGTAATAGCGTAATGGAGGAAAAATGATGAAACGATGTCAAGCTGATAAACGCTTGTAGAGCGGACGAAAAGTCGCGCGTTATACGTTACGTCAGTCGGATCTGAAAGTAAAATATTTTTTTAGACTTGGACAAGTATAAATGCATGTAATATGATAATTGCGAGAGGGACAAGATAAACATTATACAATATTTCATGCTTTGCTGTGACCGGCGCCAAAAGGCCAAGCGCGGTTGTTTTGATTTGTTGTTGTCGAGAAAACGACGATTAATCCGCTTCGTAATATATCACAGAAATAATTAAACGAATTATTATTAACTAGAACGTACCGCGTATAGTTACAATGTGAACGAGGAAAAATGTTTTTCTCCGCTGCGGGTGATAATCTAGAGAAAAAGAAACGATTAAGTTGAGTTTATTGATTCGATATGTATACAAGACAAAAATAGTTGGAATAATCGAATCGAAAGTCGGGTCATAGTTATATTCAAGATAAATTCGAATCATACGTATGACGTGGAAGAAAGCTTTAAATATTACTAATTTGATTAAATTGTTGACACACGGTGACATTCTCTTAATCTTTATTGCTGGTCAACGAAGATGGCAATGAAGTTCGTTGAAGAGACAACAAATTATATCCGCATGATGCAATTGCGACATCAAATATCATTTATTCGTGTTTACGTGTATCACTGAGTGAGGATTATCATTACTTCTTATTCGGCAGAACAATTTTGTAAACGATAAAATTCTTTTACTTTTATTTATTTATGTTCCTGTAACGTGGGATGTATATGTTATGTTTACGCGAGCATAACATTATCAACATAACGTTTAACTAATTATGCTTTGAACATCAAGATGGATGATGCGCGTTATTAGTCGCGATTGCGAAAAAAATTTGTTCGGTCCTATTTATGTAAATCGGGGATGGCCGGAAAAGAAGATCGGAGAGGAGAGAAGGTCCTCTCAAATAATTATATACGGAAATATTGTGTGAGGCTTAGATATTCTATTTCATATCAAGGAGAGCTGATACTGCTCGTTTGAGTTAGAGGCAGCTTTATCTCGCGTAGCGAGAACTTTCGAGAGAACTTGATAAGTTGCTTATTTCGAGAATCAGCGTGACCTTTCTTCAACGTTCAATGCGTATGTCGCCCTCGTACCGACCTGAGACGGATATAAATTGTCGTAGTCGTTCTATCTCACTAATTGTCCGAAATAAAAATTCGTGTTGTAAGAAAGAACTCGGCACTACGAGGCTAAGATATATCGGCGATCCGAAAGGAAAAAAATGTACGCACGAACATCTGAACCCGAAAAATATTAATCGGAAAGCATTAATTTGTGCTGTAATTGCGAATAATCGATCTTGTCTGTTTTATAAACAGTGTCGTGAAGGGAAAAGGAATGTCTGCGACAACAGCTGAATTCACGATGACAAAGTGCTCGACTAAACGTTACGTTATTTGTAGTCGCAAGGACAATTGCACGAGTTGTCAAACGCGCTTGTTTACATCGGATTATTAGCGGATTAGAATAAGCGTCTTATTTTTAGGAACGGCACATTTGTCACTTCTCGCGTCTTGCGATGGCAGTCGTGAGCCGATGCACGTAAGCCAAGCTCGCCAGAAGCGGATGGAAGTCGTAATTACTAATTAGGATTAACATGGAAATCTTCGGGCGAAAGCCAACAAAATTTTTATGCTACTTCCAATGTATCGCGTTAAAAAATTAAACAATGTCTAAGATGAACCGACACGTCCTTTCTTATATTTGTTGTGATTTACCGAGTGTAAAAATACATTGGTATAAAGTATTAGATAGAAGAAAGAAGTAAATAATTTACTCAAAAGAAGTTACTGGAAAAAATTACCCGACAACTTTGTGAGGACGTTTGGTGAATTAAATAAACCGATATAAATCTGCCGACCGAGAATACTAAAAAGTAACGTGTACATTTTTACTTTTGTTTTCTTCATCGACACGTTTGTCTGTCTTGCTTTTTCCTTACCGTTAAAAAACGCTATTGTAACCTCGATATTTTTGCACAACTATTTATTGCTCCAATTAATCGTCGTAACGCGCTATTAAAATATTTCACGGTGTGACTTTGGGATAACTCATATATATAAAATATTTAACGATCGTATTGAGATCGCGATCTATGAAGACACGATGGATTCTTCGATCAATCGCGTGATAACGATATTACGCAGTGATCACAAGTTTCGAGACAATAGATAGGCTACGCGAAAGATACTAATTGTACTAATTGTTCAATGCTAGAGAAACGACGATAAGCAATCATATCGACAAAATATTTAGCAGGCTTCAGGTCCCGAGATCGATATATGATATTAATGATTCATTCAGAAGTCGTTTCTCGTGCAGCTTCGTCTTTGTCAAAGTTAAAGCACCGCCTGATAAAATGTAATTACAAGATCTCCGTGTACGATCGATCACACTCGAAACTATATATAAACAGGCGTATATGCTGTAATAGTCGCGTAATAGTCTAAAAATATTATCGTAATTTTACGAGACCACGACGGCTAATAATCTGCTGGGCGCTGTTGTCCTTGTTTTCTAAAAATCGGAAGGTCAAGTCGCGCCGGGTCAATGCTGGAGACATTCGCCAAAGATGAAGCACAGTGTCACAGGGTGCTTCACAGTTCGTCGGAAGAGTCTTACATTTTACATGTATAGCTTTACGATCGAGTCTCGCGGGTAAGAGGCATGCGCGAAGGCACGTTTAGTTTGGCTATACGTGACGCGACTTCTGCCACCGATTACATATTTCATTCAAAAAAATGCAACGGCGCACCGCGACTTGACCCTCTGGATGCTCGGAGGTCACCGGTAACCGCTGTTGTTATCGACATGTCTCGTTATTGTGTGTGTGTGTGTGTGTGTATGTGTGTGTGACGTGCATATAAGTTAAATTTAACAATATTTATGCAATTGTAGTTATCTGCGATAGCGAGAATTTTGATCGTGAATAAGATAACGAGTACATCTCTCGAGAGTATTTTTCTTCAACATTTTTATCGTATTTTCATCTAATATTAAACACACACGGGCGATCTGCTATTTTACAAAATTAACAGAGATCCACCTGACGATCCTAATTAAACACTTTCCTTCCTTAGAACGTGATGTAAAACGGTAATTAAATTCGCGTGTTATCTAATCGATAAAAATATTTAATCAATGGCATACGTAATCATTTCTCGATGAGTGGCTGAGTGCAATAAATAAAAAAAGAAAAAAAAAAGGAAAAAACGATCGCAATTTAGAGAGTGATAATATATCAATCGGAGCGAGCTTCACGCTCGAAACTTTACGATGATCGATGAACTGCGCCCTCGAAGGGCCATGTACAGTCACGTGGCATATATTTTTAGAAATAATTCGATCGAATGCCCGCGTTCTGCGTCGAAATAACCACAAATCCGATCCAATGTAGGTCGGTATCATGGAGTGAAACTCGATAGTACACAGTGGCGAAGCTTAATACGGACAGAATGGAGAAAAATGCGCGAGAGAGGATAAAGTAACGAGCGGGAGACTCCGATCGAGTCGAGGTGTTGAGGCTGCTGTTGCATTAATTATCGCAAAAAGACTCTGCGCGCGGAGGCAAAAACGTTGACCGAATATTCCGGCTTTAGTGGAAAAGAAAGAGGGAGAGTCGTCACACCCGACTGAATTAACACTAAATTGTCAAGTGCGAAGAATGAACCGGGTTAAGATGACAAAATTTTGTAAACTAACTAGTCGTACTGAATCGATAAGAGATTGCAGTGAATATTGCACGAAAGTGCAAATGAATTTTGCATGTCCGTGCGAGAAGGAGAGAGAGAGAGAGAGAGAAAGAAAGGAAACTGAACGCATCGCATGTTTTTTGCGCGCACGCACGTATCATAACCGAATCTTGGCAATACTAGCCGGTTTGGTAGCAATCTCCGACAGATTAGATACGGACCTCTACGTAGATTATCGAGGGGACTGACGCATTGCCGCGATAAATTTTCCTCTCGATAAAAGCGCGAATGAAGACGATCAACATTTCCACTGCGCTTCCAGAGAAAGACGAATAATTATCGGAGCGCGCGGCTTGCTCTTAATCCACAATCATAATCGTGGGATAACACGCGAGAGATACACGACGTGAGAAAATTTTCCTTTCTTCGTCTTTGTGACTTTCAGCCGCTCCGATTGTCAAGTACGAGAGAGTGCAATTGCTCGAGGTCGTTAGCGTTACCAGTTCTACTCGTATTTGCTCGGAATAAGTGAAACGGGCACATTCCAAATGTTCCAAATTGTTGACGTACAAGCTGCGCGCGCGCGTAACTGCACGTATGCTTCTCTCGAAAACATTGACACATCGTTTAATCGACCATAGATAGTATCTGTGAAATTTATCACTTAATCCCAGGTGCAATCACACGGGCGAATAGGTAGCCGAGCGCAATGACACACGTTCAAACAATAATACACCGACCTGCCACTCGACTGCAGTACGTTCTCTTGAACGGTACGGAAAGATAAAACTAGAATTCTTTCCTCCATGTCGCGCACGTACTCGTTTCTTATTACAACGCTCTCGTCCATTCGTCTTTACGGAATAACGAAAATAACGATAACTTCACGAAATGTTCGAGTATTCGTTCGAGCGCATCGGGCTAGCGATCAATTGTTTACTTAACGATTCCACCTTGTTGACGTAGTTTCTATCTAATCTAACGAAAGCGAAGACGAAGAAGAAAGAGGAACGAAAGAGGAACGAAAGAAAGAAAGTGGAGTATATTTCGTGCTGAGTTGACACACGGTAATTTCAACTCGCAAACTTGCGAATTTATAGTTGCGGTATAGTTATGGTCGTGGTGTGGCGTAGAGGAATGCGGCACGATGCAGACGGCTTTTCAGCGTGTCGCGAATTTGCGTGCGAATTTATGAATAGGCGATTCCGAAGTGCACAGCTCAACAGTAAAATCGCTGCGGGGGGGATCGGAATCGCGCGTGTCGAACGATCGTATCGAGCGAGTCGTCCGGCAAATCGGCCGCTCGTGAGATCTTTCAAATTCAGCGCGCCAAGCAGAAGAACACGCCGGCCCAGCGGATACGACGGTCGCGTTGAAATCAAAAAGAAAACGATGAATCATAATGCGGCACTCACCATTTGACAGCTGAGACGATCCCCTCGGCTTCTCCGGTACTCCTGCAACTGCAAAGACTCGTACTGTTCCTTCTTTTTCGGATGCGAAAGAGAACGTCTTACGACCGATATCACCACAGCTGGGCCCATCCGGCCATCTTGCCGTATACCAAAACGTGTACTACGGCGCGTTGGCGTGTTTTGCCGCTCGTACCTCCCCCGCGGTCGGCAATTGCGTAATACACGCGCTCTCTCCCTCTCTCGCACTTCCCGCGGCATCTCCCTTCTCTCAGTCGCGGTGGATATCTGGCGAACCGTGGCCGTATAAAAGTGATCGATTGGTAAGATATCGCGCTAAGAAATCGGAATTGAGTACGCGGTGCGCTCACAAGCGGCGCCACTGCACGGTGGCAAATGAATCGCAGAGATAAATCGCTCGAGGACGACGTTGGATCGAGAGATTGAGCTTTCTTAAAAATACTTAAAATCCCTCGAGGGTCACTCAATAAGCGAAAGACCTTCCTCTGATTAATTAATTAAGCTTCTGGCGATGTTTAACGAAATTCAGTCATTCGAGCGATCTCGAGGCGACTATCTTTCAGCACGCACGCTCCCCTTCAGCATATTCAGCTGTCTCTCCTTTAGTTATTCGTACGATGCACCTTCGTCGGGTCCTAGTCGGAACTTCGAAGAAGAAGACTGCTTCATGCACATTTCGCTTCGCACATTTATGTTGGATACCGTACGCGTGCTTTGAATGCTTCTCGCTCTGCAGGGAGGATGGGCGGATACGATCTGCGCGGTAAGTCGAGGCGGATCTCGACTAGACTTTCTAAACTTTTACCAAGATGACGAGTGTCACAAGCGGGTCGCTACAACGTCGACGGATCGATAAACCTGTTCGTCGGGGACGTGCATTTGCAGCGGACAGCGAACGAGATCGGCGAGATCGAGACGCTGTCAATCATAATGCACATTAATGAATTCGTTCGTTTATTAGATCGATATAAAACAAGTAATAACATAGTAAAAAGTTGCCTTCTATCGATATGTTATTTACACAATATGCGTATAATATTATATAACAATATTTACAACAAATTTCATGATGCGAGGGGAACGGTTAACAAATTAGTTAACTACTGCCAAACCAATCCGATCCCATTGCACCGAAAAACGCGGCGGCGCCGGATTTTATTGTCGCACTAGCGGAATCGTTCCTCGTGTTTTCTTTCGCCGATACTTTCTTGCGCTGAAAGGACAAATGTGCATTTGAATTTTAGGAAATTTCCAAAAAATTAATCATTCGCCACCCTCGTATGTAAAGTTAGCATCATCCGTAATCTTGCAAAACAGAAAAACAGATAAAAAGGAAATGTATTGTTTGAATTGTATTATCTGATAAATAGAAATGTTGCGTCTAGCTGTTGTAGTAATGTTCTGTTATTTCAATGGTGTACTTTTGATATCAGTCTGCACGTGTGCTGTGTAACACGATTTCTACGTTAAATTGTTAATCTGTCTCAAAACAAAAGTAACGTTATGACATCAGCAAGACAACTGAAGTTCATGTAATCGCGTTAATCTCACGTTGATTAATCAGATTAATGCATAAAAATCAGGTCATGCAAGATTGGTGGCGGGCTTACCAAAAATTTTTACATTCACAAGATCTTTACCTTACTCAAAGGGAGACATCTACGAGTAAGTGCGTATTTAGAAAGTGATTAAAGAGTCTCAAGTTCGCCACCGACTGCACTGTCGCGAGAACACATGGATTTTCGAGACGCACCTGTGTTTTATCGGGCATCGTCGCCGACATAAGCGGCAAATTCCTCGAAGGGGCGGTAACGGTCAACGGCGGGAACCATGGTGCACCTGTGCAAATCGCAAGCACTGTCGGTGATTCGGCTTTACCACCATCGCTATTGGCGTGTTCGTTGCGCGCGCCCAAAGTCGAGTGCAGTTGCTCCAAATGAGACACTAAGTTTCCAAATATCAACTGTAAAACAAACAGAACATGTCTGTGGTCGCAGAATTTCCACGCTAAAAGTTGTGTCCTCACATGGATTATCGGTGATGATATACCAACCAAAGACCTCTGAACGGCTTTCCTGACGTTAATGTGGATAAACGGATTGAAAACGTCATAGTCGAACGGGTCTATTTTCGCGAGGACTGCGTCGCAAGTTTTCACCGACAGCTCGTTGACAACTTTATTTTCGCGGGGCACCATGAGCAACGTACAATACCTTATGTCATATAATACTTGAAACGCTTGCTTCTGTCTGAGATCTACATTCTTGGATACGTTAAAGTAATAATTAAATAATTCCGTAACAATGTTTTCGACAATTTGTTGTAGTATCCTCCTGAAATTAAAAAAAAAATATCAGATATATCGTGATGGGACGTCGGAAACTGCAACGTACGGTGTTACCACGTTAATTCTTACTTACTTCGGAAGCGTGTGCGGTACAATCTTATTTAAATCTTTACAGATAGCTGTTAAAAACTTTTGCAACGGAACCGACGGTTGATATGGCACTAAAATCTCAGACTTTATTCGCTTTCCTTCTCCAGATTCCTCTTCTATAGTCACCTTTTCCCACTCCGAGACTATCCAATGAACACGCAGACCGTCAATCGGTTCCTTTAGTATATATTTTTTCTTATGCTCGAGTATCTTTGCTTTGTACACGTCAGCCCAGACGGACCATACGCAAGTACTTTGCTCCTTCAGATTGTCACAAATAGCTTGCCACTTGACGTTTGTGATGCTAAGTCCAGATATCTTTGACAGCGTGAAACATTTGTTCAAGTTCGGGCACAAGGTAGTTAATGCAAAAAGGCATCTCGCCAGCACTATGGCATTTATGTCGCGTTGACCATATTCAGGTTTGTCGTTGACGCACGTGTTCTTCATGAACTGCACGAGATCATCGATCTTGTCGGTGCTGACGACTTGCAAGTGCTCTTGGACTTCATTGCGATCGGAGAATGAATTTGCGATTAAAGATATATTCGCCGTGAACAGGCTATCCTTAATTGTCATTACCCGCTCGGTCTCATATAAGTAATGCTCCAAATCGGACAGCAACGTATACAAACTCTTGTCGAAATTCTCGCACAATTTTATCACGTTCGGAGAGTAGCCCTTTGCTTTCATCAACAGGGATCTTCTGTTATCTAATCCACCATTCTTCGTGAGTTTCTGCGGTATATCAGTGGGGGAGTCCTTCCACACAAACCATCTTAAATCATGCTCCGGAAATTCAAATTTATCGTGTGCCACCTTGTCGAGTAACTCAATTATATTGGATTTTAAATCCGCGAGTGCTTCCATCCATTTGTCCGTTATAATATCTATTAACGAATAGTCATTAACTATTAAAGGAAATAAAGTCTGTTTTTTTTTTATAAAAACAATAAATAGTAAGTGCAATTACACTTTGCCCGTTTGGTTATGATAGGCTGGAAGAATTCCGTCCAGAAACTTATTCTTGGTAAAGACAGCTCTTCCCATATAGAGTTCCAATTTTCAGGTAGATTTACACTGATCGTTTCTTCTCGGACGTTATATAAACCTTTAACAGATACTATTAGATCTAATAATTTGGTGATTTCACGAGTAGAAAAGTCATCGACCCATTTCAACCAAGATTTAACATTCTCTTGAAGGACTGACAAAGGAAAGTTTGTTGGTACATCTTGAACAAAAGGTTTATGATTTTTGGAAACGGATGGCAGGAACTCATTAAGTAAATCCTGATTTAAATCAAGTTGTGACAATAAGCAATATGCTTCTTGATCTTTTATGTCTGTTATGAATTGCAAGACTAAACCTCCTGGTGCATTGTCCGCATCTACAATTAAATATAAAATACTTAAAGATAAGTCACTTTGTTTGTCTTATAATGCTGAAATAAAACTTGCTTACTTATAAAGCATGAATATATCAGATGGACAGTCTGTATAAGTATCTTTATACATAGTTTTAGTTTATGTTTTACACTACTATGACTCTCTTCTTTGATGACGGACTTAATAGCACAATTTCTTGTGGATATTAATTTTTCTAATAAATTCACAAAAGAAGACTCATTTAAAAATACAAGCGAAGCCAAACAGTTTGCAGCGTTCTGTAAAACAGATATGTCATTAATAGTTGTTTTAATATTAAATGTAACTTAAAATCTGTATACCAACTATGGTGGAGACATCTAATGACTGCAATATCTTGTTACACTCATTACATATAATGTTCTTAAACTGAGTAATAATATCCCACTGCTTCGAAACAATTGGATATTTACGGAACAGCTCTGTGCTGCCTATTTCAAACATTAAACTGTAATTTATATGTTGTGCTATTATGTATAATTGTGTAGCAAAGAGCAAGTTCTGGGTCTCAATACTCGTCCAGATATACTGCGGAATATCCATTAGAATTTTGATTTGGATGATAATAGAATCCAAAATATGTTCTTCTCTCCTACGAAAAATTACAACTTAAATGCACGTATCGCTATAAATTGTTTTATCTTGCATTTGCATCTAGATAATGTATGATATGGCAATATTTAAAAAAGAAACCTGTCCAGTTTATCTTCCACCGGTTCAGTTTTAAAACCAATCAGGTATTTCTTTTGCAATTCCTTAAATTTATCTTCTATATTAGCAATTTTTGAGGTAACTTCCTCAGACGTTATCTTCATTTTTCCAATAGTGTCGGCAGCCAATATTAAATCCCGATATCTTTCCCTGAAAGTCATTAATAACATTCACTGACACTTCACTTTTGAAGCTTCAGTATAACCTTTCACACGCGATTGATATGCATTCTTTTGCGAATTATAAATTGACGAGAAGACAAATTATCGCGATTCTGATAAAGAATAACATATATATTTTATATAACGATTTAAACAAGATAGACTAAAGTTAAATCGAGCTGTATGAAATGTATAATTGTCATACCCAACTAATGTCCGTAGTTCTATTTTCTTTCTATCACTTTCCAGTTGAATTTTCTTCTGAATTTCTTCAATCTCTTTAATGGTGTGCTTCTCGAATAATTTATTTATGTCTAAATCCAAATAATTTGTAGTTGTCATGTTTTTGACAGTTTTTCCCTCGGAAGGCGAAAGATCCCACGTAAGCTACGCTACATCACAACTTGGACGAACTATCGTCATCTCTTTTACCATTTGACGATAATGCTTTTATCGATCTGATTACGTTTCTATTAGTTGGTACTACCAGAGAGGAACCTGAGAGCGGCCAACACGGCGTATTCGGCGACACCGACTTTCCGCACTAGTAAAGAGCGCCATCTGCATCCATTTTGAGAGTTTATAGGTCCTTTGAACCGGCCGGCACTAATAAACGACCGGGTCTTAGTCCCAGTTCCACAACTTGCTTTAAACGGAGCTTAAAGCTAAACCGATGGTTAAAAGCAATAATATATGCGTATATACTATTGCTTTTAACCATCGGTTTAGCTTTAAACTCCGTTTAAAGCAAGTTGTGGAACTGGGCCTTACCCGACCGTTCACGCGGCGCGGCGTCAAGTGAAGAGCCTTTGTGGGCCATAGGGTCAGGACGGTCGGGGAGTCGGGTAGATACTAACGTAGTTCCCCCGACCGTCCTTTTCTACTTTTCATCTAATATTCAATGATGATAAATAACATTTAATTGCATTCGTTTGACTTTTTATTTCGAAAATGAAAAAATATATACCAGGGTGAGATTTCACCCATGACAACATCAATGTGATTTTCTCTGATGCTTTTTTTAAGAGTTCAAATATTTCGCCGACTCGCGGGATATTTATAATCGGAGTCTCGTTGCGTTAATTAACGCGTGCTCCTCCGAGCGGATCGAATGCTCACCGACGGCCACTGTCAGTGCCACGAGCGAATGTCCGGAGCGGACGGGATGCTGAATTGAGAAGCAGGACGAAGAGAATGGGACGCGGGCAACGATACATCATGCGTCTCCAGACGTGTCAAATTTTTTGTTCATACAGGAGACTTTGATACGGCAACATTCGAGGATTTAATATTTAATACGTACTCTTATTTTTCCTGCTCCTCTCCCCTCCCCCTGCCGCTCTTTTTAGACCTCCAGGCATAGTCTGGTATAGAGATGGCAAGAGATGGTGGTTGCAGCACGGACATAAACCGCCTGAAAGTGCATGTAGCACGGACTTCCACCACATGCAGATTTTACCACCGAGACCTGAAAGTGGATGCAGCATCGTAGTTCCCCTCTCAAAATGGATGCAGATGACGTCCTTTCCCAGTGCGGAAAGTCGGTGTCGCGGAAAATGCCGTGTTGGCCGCGCTCTCTCTGGTTTCTCTCTGGTGTAACCGATTTCTTCGTGAATCTCCGTTACGAGTCGCTACTATTTTCCATAAAGAAGGAAGCACGTAGTATGAGTCAAATTAGTTGTGGTTTTATTTTAAAGATTTAGGATTCAACGTCAAGTTATCTTATCTTTAGATAGTACGATTTAACGGTATGTTAGAAATATTTTAAACTTTCTATTGATCGCGTTTAATGAATATCTTATATCAATTTGTTTGTCATCGGAATTTCGGAATCTATCGTTTCGTTTTTGTGAGCAATACAGATTAAAATGGCATTTTTGCTCGGAATAACTTAGCGAAAGGAGAATAAACTGCAATGCAATAGAGTAGATATATTAAAGAGGAAAATCTGCGCGTTAAAGCAGAATAAATGTTATTTTTGCATTGTTTTATTTGTGTAGTATAGTCTGACAAATTTTGTATAAAAAAGCAGAGACATCTAATTATAAAATGATTCTCGAGCCATCTTAGATATCTTTACTTTTACCAAAGTTATACAGTTCGTTGAATTTTGTCTATCTTTCACGATCGAAAAAAAGGGATCGTTTAAATAATTTAATATTTGAATTTAAATTGAAAAAAAAACCTCTATTATCAAACAGTAAGACTTGATAATAAATGAGATACATTTTTAGTTCCAAATTGTATACCAAAGCAATGTGTGAAACTTTTTATTTATATAAATATTCGTTTCACGAATCTCTCGGCGAATTCGGTAAAATTGGTTCACAGGTTGACAGGCAATTTAACAGCTGCATTCTCGGTCATTGCATTTAGTCGCGTACATCGTATCTCTTCACGCAGTGGTAAATATAAAATCACAAGTGCTCTCTCGCATCCTCCAGACACAAGCATTTTTGAAGCAAGCGAACGAACGTACGAACGAACGAACGGACGACGTGATATCCTAAAGATAGATTCGACGGTGCAGAACGGCTCGCAGCGCCTGCTAACAGGAAACATCTCGCGATGCGCCTCTCCGAAGAGAGTTATTTCGGATAATCCTCGTTGGGGATCCGTCGTGAGGTTGTGCAGGCGAGTTGATGGTCCTCGAATTGCCGCGCCGCACGGGAACACCGCAACGAACGCACGCGCAACGCGGCGCAACCTGGCGCAGCAGCAGCAGCAGCGGCAACCGACGACGGTGCGCTATGGTATGCGGCGGTTCTTCACTGCAAAAAAGCAAGCTCGGCGGACTTACGTTTTACGTCGCCTCGCTCGCGCGATCGTCCCGAACGGGAGATATAAGGTTATGCCGTTCGGTCGCGGCGAGTGATCCGCGGTCTCTCATTTACGAGAGGCGCCGTGTCGGCGCGCGCGTTTCGTGGGCGGAGAACGCGAGTGACCGTAAGCAATGAAATTTTTAATTGTACGGTGACACATTCCTCGTGAGACACGGGCAGGTGTGTCTTCTCTCTCTCGGATGTGTGTACAGTCCCACCAACCCAGCTCGCGTACCCAACTCCGGTCTCCGGTTTCATCCGGTCGCGGTTTCGTTCGATCGGCGAAACGTGTAATGCATGACGAACTGAAAACAATCTGAGGAGCTCCGATGACTGTCGACAATACGGGTGAGTAGTATTCCTTTGATTTGCGCCGCGACGCGGCGGAGCGCCTGGCGATCTCTTATCGTTAAGCGATTTACGCGCTTCTATCGCGACGCGGAGACGTTGCGTGGGCCAATTTGAGTCGTGATCTACGAGATGTTTGTTTTTTTTTCTGAAATTAGCACATTCGCACGACAGAACTCCCGCCGTGTTACTATTTTAGCGAAGCATTCCGCGTGCGGGGGATTGCGTTCGCTACGAGCAAGGACTTGTGTGTAAAGTGGGGTTATGTTCAATTAAATTTTGCACAGTGTTGTTTCATGAAAATCGATCGGTTGTGGGTCCTCCGTGAGGTACACGTACACATGCATTCTAAAGGAAACTGTTGTAATCGTAAATTATCTTAAGATACAAAATGTGTATTACTTTTATTTGCAATATACCAATATGGTAAATAGGCTGATCAAATATGTAGTCTTAATTATATTGACATACAGAAAGCTCTGACGTATCAGACTGTCAGGGAACAATGTATTGAATAAGTAGAATCTTGTTAAATCGGATATTTTTGCACTGCAGATTATCATAAGGCAAAAAAAATGAGTACCTCTCTAACATCACTTCAACCAAATAGCCAAAGCTTAGAAAGGCAGAGACATGTCAGAAAAACAACAGAGAGACTTTATAATAGTCTCACCAAAAAGAGGTTTGTTTCTTGTGTGTGTTAATCAGGATAGATATTAACTGGTTATATGTGTGATATCTCCTTGTTATTTAGTTCATGATTGTGATATAAGAGAATTGATTCAACCAAAATATATTTTTAGGAAAGATCCAAAGCAAACAAACGTTCAAAGAATGTGGATAAATCAAGAAGACTGCAAAGATGACTTTTGGGCAGCCATAAGATCTAATTATGATTATATTATGGATACTAATTTAATCGATACTTGCAAGGTAAAGTATCATATTACATACAAAATCACATGTAAATGTAATAACAGAATAACATATAGAGATTCATTCCAATAATTTAGGAGGCGAATGGTGAACTAATATGGGACGAAACAGATGTATCGACACAATCTTGGAACTTGAAGGAAGTCAGTAGCCAATTTTCAGAGCTTTATTCATGGTTAAGAATTCTTCAAGAGTTGGTCTATTCTAAAGAAGAGAATCTCTTGGATAAAAGCCTGCGTGCAGTAAGTGCAAATTTATATACACTTGAAATATTACATAATAAACCTGCAAGAAATCAACATTGAAGATAAAATTGCATAAATTTATGAACATTAATTAGGCTCATATGGAGGAGCTACGACGCAAGGCGTACAGACGCAAATTGTTCAATGAGCAAGCAGAAAAGTTAATTTCTCGCGCCCCTGCTTTAAAAGACGAAGTAGGGTGGCGTGTAGATCACTTAAATGCAAAGTGGGAACTAGTTGAACAAATTATGGCACCCATAGACCGACCTGTATCTAGTCAGCAAGATATATCCGCAGGTGATAAGCTATATTCTTTTTTCATATATTCTTTTCTTTCTGTAACTATATAGTTATAATTTGACCAAGTTTAAGAAATGTCTCAGTATTATGCCAATGTTGTTAAGCAATATGGATGTTCAAAGATATTGGAAAAAATGTCATTATATTAAGAAGATACAATGATATTATATAATCAAAATTATATAATCGTGAATCAGCTCTTATTATCGAAGATCGTTATTAATGATACATGATTATTCTGTTTGCAGATTTTGAACGTGAAGTAAAATGTCTAAGAAAGTGGTTACGAGAAATGGAATCGCGACTTCAACCTCTGAGCTTCCACATCGATTGGACTCTGCCAGAACTGGAAGAGAAAGCAGTAGAACACATGGTAAGTAAGCAGTAGAACACATTTAATAACTCATATAATAACTGTCATAATAATTGTCATATAATAACTGTCAAATACTAAAATTTGTCTCAATGCTTGAGAAAAATTGGTACGCGATATATTTTACTGACGATGTTTTCTACTTTGTTCGCGATTCTTTCCATGTCTCTTTCTTATCTGCAATTTGGTTCTTCTCATTATTATGCGTTTTTATGCATTATGTATATATATGTATATTTATTCCTTTCTGTAGCACGATATGCGCAGGAAAATAAGTATAACGTATACATATTAATATTGCCCCCTCTTAATATTGCTTTCGTTAGAACTTGATGCTGAACGAGTAATAAATATTTGAAAGCAGTATGTGTGTATAAAAATTTCTATAATTACGTCGGTAGGGAGAGACAAATTTTCCTCAGGTCTCCTTTTTGGCAATTTATATGCATGCATCTTTGTATTTATACATGGTCTTGTACCTCTTTATATTCATCTTTACTAAAGTCTCTCTGTATTATTACATTTTCTATGATTGGATTACATCAGATGCACAAAGCAAGACAGAGCATAATTATATCGACGGATTGACTCAGGTGCTCGCTCATACTGTTAATGCACAAATTCTCTGCTTTTGATAATCGGTTAAATTATTCAATGATATTAACGGCGGAGGATGCGGCTAAAAGGAAGCGGCGGCGCGTCTCGGGCGGAATACGTGCTAAGAATAAAGCTGCGTGCGTTGGCGCCGAGCACGTGTGTATCGGCTTGAATTCTTGCCGACCAACGCAGCGCGCAACACTCCGAACAACGGATGTAATGGCGTCGTGACGAGGAGAGAGAGAGAGAGAGAGAGAGAGAGAGAGAGAGAGAGAGAGAGAGAGAGAGAGAAAGAGAGTGAGAGAGAGGGAGAGTGGGGAGAAGAGAAGCGAACAGCCGGCGCGGTCCCCACGTTTGTTGTTCTGTTTGGGCTCCGATCTTTGCCGAAGGCTCGCGTTCGGACGCAAACGATGCGCTTCGTTGCGTGCTGGAGAGACCAGCTGCCTGCCGGCTGCACGAGCCGACAGAGTTCGCCGTTCCACGGTCGCCGCCGGTGGACGGGCACGTTAGCGCGAGCACGTTGATCCAAAGTTCCCTTCCTCCTCCTTCTCCTCATCTTTTTCTACTCTTCTACTTCTTCCTCCTCGTTCATCTTCTTCCCGTTCGCGTTCTCTTCACCGCTCTCCGTTTGTCCTGTCGTTATATATTCTTCTCCTAGAGCATCGCGCTATATTTAAACCGAACGAATGGTGCGGGTCCCTTGTGTTCGATTTATCGCGGCATCCCTCACGTAAGTTTGCTACGCGCGGCCTCCACACGGCGTTCCGGCTTTTCTTCGCCGGCATCTAGCGTCCTTCCTCCCACCCTCTTATCCTCCTTCTCTCTTTCGTTCTCTGCCGTTGTCGAAAAACCCGAGAGAGAAAAGAGTTACGGTCGCGCGAGACTGCGGTGCCGCGTGGGTCAGCCAGACGAGTCTCTTCCCTACGGTCTTCCTTCGGACTCGACCGGCCACCGCCACCGCTGCCGCTGCCGCCGCCGCCGTCGCCGCCGCCGCCGCCGCCGCCGCCACCGCCGCCGTAGCTGCTCCGCAGCTCTCTCCCTTCTTTCTTCTCCTCCTACTCGTTTTTCCATCCGTCCGTCCTCGTCTAACCGAGAGACATACCTCAGCCTCGACGCGCTCGGAACCCTTGGCGCGGTCCATTCGACGTGGTTTCTTCGCCGCCAACGGCCGCGAAATCACGAGCCCGCGCGACGCAGCGTGGCGAACGGGAGTCATTCATGCTCGTCGTGACGAGCAGCGCGACGAAACCGCCGCGAGGAGGAAGCCGCCGTCGTCGAGAGGGGAAGGAGTCGCTCGGAAGAAACGCGTGAATCGTCCTCTCGTCGCTGCTCTCTGTGTGCCGTTGACTGTGAAACAAGAAGAAAAAGGGAACAGGGGAGGAAAAAGAGAAGTACGCTTCGTTACTGAAGCTGCCACCCGAGTGTCGTAGGCGGTAGTGCGGTTTTACACGGTGCGATGTTCGCTCGCTCTGCCGCCGCCGCGGCCGTCTCTTCCGCGGTTCTTGGCGCGGACACGCGCGATATCTCGATCGCATCCGCCGCCGGCCGATACACGTCGTCCCGTTTTTCGTGCTGACGTGCAACAGTGCGTCGCTCTTCTTCCCAGGACGCAGTGGATATGCATTTCGGTAAGGGAACTTATCGTCCGTTATCGAGAGAGGGATTATCGTCGTTCTCGTCGCTTTTATCTAATCACGCCCGCGACATAACCACGTGCGATGATTTCCGTTGGAAGTTTATTAACGTTCGAATCGACTCGGAGTCGAGTCGATTGGGCAATGAACAGGTTGCCTCTCGGTTCACTCAGTTCCTCGCTCTGCCGATGACTCGTTTGTTTGATTTCACGCGACTCGCCTTCGGAGCACGTGGATCGCGAGGAAAATCGCGGTGATTTTAACGCCAGGCGGAGGTATTTAGCACGTGAAAGTCGGGGTTCCGAGTTCCGATCCGGAGAAAGAGGAAGAGAGAGAGAGAGAGAGAGAAACGCTGCACCGGACTGAGTCTCGTTGCGCTTATCCAAATATCGCGCGCGCGCGCGCATTGTCATCGCTAAGCGAAATTCGATTCTCCCGCTGCTCCTCCGCTCGCCTCACCGTTGAATTTTCATATCAAAGCGGATACCTTGAGCCAGTTTCGGCCATCCGCTGGCGGCTGGCTACGTGTATCCCCGCGCCAGCCGTGAGTTTGATCGTGATATTTGTCCCGTTATTGTTACAACAAAGAGCACAATGAGACAATGAAGCGATTACAGTGGGTGCTGCTGTCAGCCCGATCTTAATAATGCATCTCTGACGTAATCACCGTTTGTGTCTTTTGATCAACTGCGCTGTTATACATAGATGTAATATAATTGATTAACGGCAACGTTTATATAAATGGCGTAAGAGATAGAAAAAGGAGGACGTCTTTCGCATATAAAATCGTGTCCCAGCGTCCCAGCGCGACGCGCGTGTTTACTCGCTCGCCTCTCGAACTTCGATTCGTGTTCGTTAAAAATGAAAAATCTCGGCAAAACATATCAACATGTTGAGAGAAATACGATTGTGTATAAAAAAGTAACGGAAAGGAAAAAAAAAGGGAAAAAAAAAACATGAAAGACGGCACGCTATGGAAATGTCGATCATTACCATGTATCCTTGATCGCATACTTGATCTCACGCGCTACACTCTCGGAGCATCCGTGTCTAAAGCCCGACTTTTCTACTCCCCGACTCCAGCTCCGAGTTCACACGCATACGCACATACACACGCATATTGTTTTCCGATTTGGTCATCGACACTCCGCACGAGCCGTGCGTGGATGCTCCGTTGAACGACATTCGTGGATGTTGAAGTCGGTCGTTCGAGGTCAAGCGAGTTCACGTGGAATTGTCCGTATAAAGAGAAAGTAGATCTTTGTGGAATTTTATGGACTCGCTCCGTGGCGGAGTACCCGGTAATTGCGTCCGCGGATCGTCGGACGTTAAGTTAAATTTGAATGCAATTCTCTGACGTCGCGCAGAGAAACAAGAAGAAAGAAAAGGGAGAAGGCGCGTCGTAATTTTCCTATCGTTAAGTAACCCAGTTACATGCGTAGTACGCGTACGCATGTACGGCGCGTTATAAATCAGGAGGAAAGTTATTCTCCCTCATTAGGAAAAAGCGTCTCGAAAGTATCCCAAAGCACGAGAGAGAGAGAGAAAGAGATCCGGTCGGTTTGGTTTTAGGGAAACAGAACGTCTGTGGAACGGCTCGACCCTAACGGTCACTCAATTATAATGCTTAATTAGCGTTCCGAACGAGCGGATTCGGCGGTGCGTTTCGGAGGACTCGCGAGCTGAAGGAAAGCGTGCGCGCGCGCGTAAAGCCGGACACAGCGGAGAGGCGTTCGGCTTTTGAGCCGGTTGCGAGTATTTTTGGAAGCGCGCGGCCGCGCTCTCGTCACTCACCGGAGCTTCATGCTCGCGCGACATTAGTGCGACTTGCCCTCTTTCCGAGTGAAAAACGATCGCGATCTCGATCGCGTTAGAAACGCGCGATAGGATTTTTCGCGCGTGCGACCGTAACAAATGTTAGATAGATTGAGTCGGTGCGAGGGCGCGCGCGCGCGCGCGAGCGAGCGAGCAAGCCGCTGATGTCTATTCTCGCGCTTTTCTGTTCCGTACAATCGCACCGCTCACATCGTCCAGATCGTGGATTGGATCTTTCACGAATATGCGATAACGCAGGTGCGCATTATCGTTGAGATATCTCGCGTCGCCCTGATATTTGTATCGAATCTGGTCTTGTAAATATTTTTATCGCGCGCCACGCGCGTTTATATGAGACCATGTATCGTTGCGTCGCGAGCTACTCGTCGAAGAAAGATTGTCAATTACAGAACGAGCTTCGTCTCAGCGGAGATGATATCACCTCGGAGGATTTTTTCTTTCTCATTGCGGAGAAATGCTCCCGCGCCGATGTCCTCCTCGGCGCGATTTCTTCCCATGTCCCGTCGAATTCAAACGAATCGGCCGATTGACTGGCCGACAACACACGCGTCTGCGAGACTATTAACGTCGAGATTGAAGAGCGTGACAGTAAAATGTTAATTGAATTTCCGTTCACGAGCGGACTGCTACGTTTGATCGCGATACGCTTAACAAGCCTTATCGGCGCAACGCAATTTGGTTACTTCGTAGGAACGTGATAAAGCCGCGGTACGCCATTACGATGTGCTCGCGAAACCGCAAATCCAACCGTTGACAAAACCAAAGTTATTCCACGGTGGGATCAGTGGGACATCCAATAAGAACACAGCGACGAGAAATGAGGCGAGGACGGCCTGGATAACTCGCGGCTGTGAGCAACGCAGCTGCGAGCGGAAGGTCCCGGTTATGAATTTATTCGCGTGTATGGATCCCCGTGACTCTATTCGGCGACTC